AGTGAGCTCTTTGTTCCCCTTAATATAAGACTCATTTCAGTGGCAGTTGTTAGTGGGAGGGATGAGATGCAAGTGGAGAATTCTAACTACCTTCTCAGCCTAGTGTTTGATGGTGTCTTCATCTTTCTGCCTGACTTATCAAAGAACTAGAAATGGGACATTCCCACTGCAGCTGGTACAACCCTACAGATGTCGCTAGCATGAAACAAGTATTTCTGGTTCTGTGATGTACAGGAGCCTTGATCTTGATCCCTGGGTTGAGAAGTCGATGTATAAAGCTGAGAGCTTGATTTCATGACGTGATGGCAGACCTACAACCATACCACAAAAGCTTTTGTGTGTCTACATCAAGGTGAACTCTAACCAAGCTTTTGGAACAAATGCTGATAGAATTTGGTCTTTAAAAAGAAAGTAACAAATAATTTTTATGCTTTCTGTTAAGATCCTGACTTTTAAGCCTCCCTTCTAGAGATTCAGGATGCAACAAGACCTCCAGACATGAAAGCCAATGTTTCTTGCTCAACTCTACCCAGGAAAAATTTACTTTTTTTCATTAGTTCAAAGGTCCAGGCAGCTTGGGAAAAATGGTACAGAAACCAGATACATTTCCATGATGACCCAGGGTTCTTGAGTCCAGTATATTCCACCAGACATTCCCTGACCATCCCATGGCAGAGAACTTTGCCTTTGGAAGGTTCAAGTGAATGTTGCTTTCATTAGGCCCTTAGACTTAAAGAAGCAATTAATGATACAAGAAACCATCAAGGATATTCTTTCTATTCAACTCGACTATACATTCATTCAATGAAGAACCATGTCAGGTATTTTTTGTGTCTCCCAGTTTATCATATAATTCCCTAAACATAGTAGGAACTCAATAAATTCTTACTGATTGATTGACAGGGATGATTTTATAGTCAGTTTCATATCTTTAACTTATAGATGGTTTTTGCTGATACCAAAAGAGTTTTTAAATAACTAAATAACTAATAATGCCTTAGGAAGAATTAATGCGAGGATTTGCAGAAAGGCCACACACATAAAAAGAAATAAGCACCATTCCGCAAGTCTGAAACCAATTGAATTTAAATCCTGTTCCAAAAATTAATTAGCTAAATATTGTTGGGTATGTCATTTTACTTCTGGTCACTAGCATATTATAAATAAAGCTCAGGACTTGGAATTGGCAGTCTCTCCATGTCTTTAAAATAGGAAAGATCATTCTCATTCCCCAGCAACTTCCCTCTCCCTCCCACTTTTCTCTCCCAATATACTTGCTCTACTCTATACTGATCTTCCTTCTGTTATTACTATTACTATTTTAGTTTGTGCATTATAATTATGTGTGTGTGTGTGTGTGTGTGTGTGTGTGTATGTGTATAAGTGGGAGTCAATGTATATTCATACATGGACATAGGATAATTTGGTAGATTTTGTCAAATTATGTTAAATGCACATACAGATATGGTATAATATTATTGTGTATAATTATAATGCACCAATAACAATAATAATAAATAATAAAATAAAAGAGGAAAAGATAAATGGGACACAGTTTTCAGTTTTAATAAGGGCTTACTTCGTAAAAAAAAAAAAAAAATGAGTTCCCAAAGAGCTCATTCAGTTCAAAGAAGCAAAATAAGAGAAAAATTCTTCATTTGAACTGATTTTCAAAATATATCAGTGGAGTTGGTTAGCTGCTATTTTATTTAGATTTTTTCCATCTATGGTCCCAAATGAAATAGATCTATACTTTTCTTGTCCTTTTTGGGTTTTCTAATCAATGCCAAATTATCCCCATAAAGTAAGATGTATTTAATACAACCTTTATTTTCTAAACAGTTACTTGAACTTACAGTATCTCTTCTTCCAAATACTATAATTTGCTTAACATACTCTCACTTTTTCTTTAGATTATTTCACATGTGACACATATATCATATTGTTATTTTCTAGAATTTTAGTTTTGTGTTCCTACAGATATGATTTTTATCTTTATTTTTTTAGTCCTTATGTATTTAAATAAGAGTGAAATTTTTGACTCATTTTCTTACCCTCACTTCCTACATCAAATAACATCTTCCTGATCATAAGTTTTCTTATAGGAATACTTAATCTAAGTGTGTTTTAAAGAAGATCATTGTTAATATTTCTGCTTCGTTTTTGAGTTTAAAGAATTAATTAAACAGAAAATCCTGTGTTTTATTTTTTTTTTCACCTTTAACGCCTTGAAAATATTACTCCACAAGCCCAGGGTTACTGTTGAGAATTCCAAAGTCAATCTGATTCTTTTTTCTTATATGTGGTAGCCTTTACTCTTTAAAAGCTTTGGGAGTTTTCTATTCACTTTTTTTTTTTAAATATTTGTTCTTTTTGATATACATGGCAGTAGGGTATATTTTGAGATACTATATTTACATGGCATATAACCTATTCTAATTAGGATCCTATTGTGGTTGTACATGATGCGGAGTTTCATTGGTAGTGTACTCATATATGAGCACAGGAAAGTAATATCAGATTCATTCCACTGTCTTTTCTATTCCCACCCTCCCTCCTTTCCCTTCATTCCCCTTTGTCTAATCCGCTGAACTTCTATTCTTCCCTTCTCCCCACCTTGTTGTGTGTTAGCATCCGCATATCAAAAAGAATTCAAACTTTGGTATTTTGGGATTGGCTATTTGACTCAGCATGAGAGTCTCCAGTTCCATCCATTTGCCGGCAAAAGTCATTCTCTTTTATGGCTGAGTAATATAGTCCATTTGTGTGTGTGTGTGTGTGTGTGTGTGTGTATAATAAAGATAAAAATCATATCTATATATATATAGTTTTTAAAAACTGTTCTTGCCTCTCTCTTTTTATTCTAGGAAAGTCTCAAAATTATTTCTTTAAATTTTTCCTACCCTAATTGATTTTTCCTCTCTTCCTAGATCCCAATTATATGATTATTAACTCCTATTTCTAATATTTCTTTTTGTTTACTCTTTGTGCCTGTTATTATCATTATTAATATTTTTGGCTGCTGGGGATCAAACCCAACTTCATGCATGATAGGCAAACACTGTATCACTTGGCTACAGGCCCCCATCCCTGTGCCTATTATCTTTTGTAACATGCTTTGTTTGGGTGCTTCAACTTACTAACTTATTCTTTGCATCTTTCTGCTACCAATCCTAACTATTCGTTTTATTTTTGTTGAAGTTCCTCATCTCTGGTTGACTTTTTCTTTGTAATGGATTGTTTCATGTTTCTAATATTTTCCCTTCTCATTATTTGAATGTTATTAGGTTTATTAGGTTGACTCTAAGTGATTCTTTCATCTGATCATGACAGTGCTTTCACTCTTCAAGGGTCTTCAGTTGCTACCTGTGAACTCGTATTTCCCTGAGGTCATCTGCAAGCGCAAAGTGAAGAGAAAGGAGAAGAATCTCAGGCCCAAGTTCGGATCAATTATGGTGATCTGGGAGAGCTGAAAAAATATTGAGGCAGGGATTCTTTGAAATTACAAACTGGGCTCTTTATTCTCTGTTTATCGCCTGTCCACCACTCACAGTAAGCCTTTGCCCTGGGGCTTCAAATTTGTCCAAAGCCCATCTCTAGGATGCAGTTTTCAAATAGGAATGAAGGGGTGGGAACTGGAGTGGCAGGTGGGATCATGTTGGGAGGAGAAAGTGTCCAAGTGCTGGCAAGTCTACCAATGTTCTATTACCTGCTCCTCACTCCAGCTGGGCTCCAGCTCTGCCCTGGATTTGGCAGGCTGCTTCCTACTGGGTCTGAACTGTTTTGGCTGTTTTCCTGACTCTCAGTCTCTGGTATACCAATGGGGGAGCCAGGGCAGTGTGGAAGACAGGACAAAGGATAGGGGGAATGTTCCCCTAAACCTGTCTCCTCCTTGATGGTGGCTCTCCCAGACCTCCTACCCTCATCCCAAACCTTAGCACCTTCTCTCTCTCTAGGAATGTCCTCCCAGTGTTATTTCATTTTGGTATCCATCAACCTCATTTTCTTACCTTTTGGCAACACCAAGGTAAGGTTTGAGGAAAGAATTTGGCCACCATGTTGGGGTGATGTGTTGGACCATTCACCAGTAGCTATCAAAGTGTCTCAGGGACTCCTCGAGGGTACATTGAGAGGCATCTCATGGAAGCCTAAGGAAACTTAGGACTGTGAAGAACAGTCTGAAAAACTACTGCCCAAACATTTAAAGAGTAACAATGTCTCTAGTCTTATTTATATGCTAACTCATGACTCATTATATGAATAAAATTATAAATTATTGCATTAGTTTCTAATAAGTTTATTTTGTAGGAAAGGATAATATAAATCAAAAGTCTCCAGCTTATTTGCCCTCTTAATTTTCCTATTCATGAACAACAACAAAAAAAAACCTTGAAAACTTTCCCATCATAAGCAGATCTCAATATTAGGCAATATTCAAGGGTGTTAGGGGTTTAGGCCCTATAGATGACTTTAGGAGAGCAAACTACATAGCCCATAACTCTTAGATGATGAAAAAACTATAAATGTCAGCTCAGACCCAAGATATTACCTGTAGCAGGAATATTAATGAAGTGAAAACTGCTCATCCAATTCACTATTTATCCACTCATCATTCAATAAAAATCATCCATCCATCTGTCCATCAGCCACCCAGCAGGTGTTTCCTGGGCACCTGTATAAGAGTTCCTTAAGAACTGGGGCTTTGCCATGTTCATTCCTGCATCCTCTACAAGGTCTAGCATAATAAGCACGAAGTAGGTACTCAAAAAATATGTGAGTTTAAATATGTTCTTGAACTCACAGCTTTAAGCTCTGTGGTGGGCAAAACTATTTCTAAATTTTCTGCTGCAATTGCCAATATAAACAGTATACTGGAGAGCTTCCTCATAGCTAACCATATTTCTACAGCTAAAGCTTAATTCCATCCTATGGGTCTCTTGAATTTAAGAGAAATCAACCCAGTCTGCAAAGTCCCAAAGACACAGAGTGAACTGAACACGTTAAGACACAAGACTAATTTGTTTATTAGGTGTGTTCTATAAGTTGACCAGGGAGATTTTTGGCAAATAAATAAATAAATAATCAAATAGGGACTTCAGGGCACAGAAAGAGCTCAGTAGGAGGAAGGAAGCGAAGTCCTTGCATAGTTCTAATAAGAACAGAAGGTGGTAGCAGTAGGCAACGTGGATTCTTGGCAGAAATGCAGCACTTGCAGAAACCAGGGAGAGGAGGCTTTGAGAAAGAGGAGAAGGTCAGAAGGTGACTGACTACCTATTTTTTTTTCATAGAGACTGTGGGGTGGAACATTGGTCCTCTCTACGGGGGGCAGGATGCGGCACCTTACATGATCTGCCTGGGCATCCCATACCCAGTCATGCCTGCCTGGGAGGCTCCCTTGTTGCTACCCATCTGCAGGCCAATTACGTTCTGCCCCTGGCGAAGCTGCTCCTCTGAAAATCCTCTTCGATTCTGCTGAGCTTTCCTGGATGGGGAGAGTGAGATGGAATAATGTCATGTGACAGATTTCAAAGCCTTGTCAAGATGTACAGTTAGATGGGCTCTATCTGAGATCATCCAATAGACCAGCAGGCCCACCCTGAGCCAGGACCTACCCCAATTCTTGCCCTTCCCTGAGGCTTGGGCCCCTATCCTTAGAAGCCCAGATGTTTTTCAGAATTTCCAGCAAAGATAAAAGAAGAATCTGTGGCTGCCTCCCTGGGGAACTGACTTTCATCTTTCCTTCTTTTTTCCCCTCTCCCCACTCTCGTTTCTTCTCCACCATTTTCAGCCATCTCATTCTGCATCTTCTGAAACAAAGTCAATGCTTCTTACAAACCATGCCATTAACCCCCTTCTACCCTTCCTGCACAGACCAAGGATTCATGTTCCCTTTTAAAGCTGAGGGACCTAGGAGTTAACAAGGGCAAATGTCTTACTCTAGGTCAGAGGTCTGAAGACTTTGCTAAAGAGCCAGGTAGTAAATAGTTTTGGATTTGCAGCCACATACTAATAATGCTGGATCAATATTCAATGGATCAATATTGAGGAGATTTTTCAAACCAAGGTCATTTAAAATGACACAAGCTAGGGGCTAGGGATATAGCTCAGTCAGTAGAGCGCTTGCTTCCCATGCACTAAGGCCCTTGGTTCAATCCCCAGCACCACCAAAAAATTAAACAAACATTCAATTCATCTTTAAAAAATACACTAAAAAATGTGACATAAGCTGGTACATTTTTATAACTCTCAATGACAAGAAAAGGGCTTCAGGGAAATTATTTACCATTTTTTTTCTACGAATAAAGCTATGCAATTTAACTTCCCACCTTCCCTGTCCTTACCCTACCTCCAAAGGAAAAATCCCCCCAAAATCTTTTTAGTAACCTGAGATGTCCATATGATTTATCATCCAGACTGGGAAAATTTGGGGAAGAGGGTGTTATTATTAATGAATTGGAACAACAGATATTAACCAGGACAGTGTTTGGCAAACAGGATATATTTAACCTTCATTAAGTACACAGAGAAAACTAAAAAGAGGGAGGAAAGAAGGAAGGGAGGGAGGAAGTAGGTGAGTGAGTGAGTCGGGGGTGGAATACTCAGGGCTGCTCAGGTCTTAATAAACCAAGTACAGACATCAAACTGCTTCTAAAAACGACCATCCATTCCCACTGATCCTCAGGAGAGGCACCTGGCCGAGCAGGAGGATCCAGGTATCTAATAAGAAAGGCCCTACTCTCTCTGCCCTGGGTAGAATGCTGGGGGACTCAGTTGTGGGCCAGGAGTGCTTGCTCCTGGGGGCTCTGCATACAAATGGCCCTGGGGAGCTCCTAGGCTTCTGATCCTCTCTTTAACTGTCTGCTGCAGGAGGCAGAGAAGGAACTTTTACCTGTGGAACCAGGATGGCTCTCCCCGGTAGCAGCCATCATCCTTGGTGACTGCAACACTGCCTAGAGCCATCAGGGTCCTCTGCACAGCTGCCATGTCCTTCCCTGGAAGCCAATGAAGAGATTAAAGCCAAGTGTGTGTCAGGGCCAAGGAATTCTGGAAGGATGTAGCTGCACACCCAGGATAGAAATTCTGATAGGGGGCTGTGGATGACCACATTCAAGGGGGAAGTACTATCAAACTCTTACCAAAGTGATTCTAAGGTGACCAGTCCCAAATTACTCAGAAAGGAACACAAACAAGCCTGATTAATTATTCTCCACTCATATCAGTTACCTTTCCAATCCACTCGTACTGGCTATAGGAATAAACAGTCTGAACACCTGCAGCTCAGATCTAGAAAGGTCCCTGTCCTAAGCAGAGGACCTTGCCTTGGTGGGCTCTACAAGCCGAGGGAAGGAAAGTCCTCTGGAGGGGCTGTCAACTTGGTCTGCAGAAGAGCACTTTCCTCAGGTTAGAAAGAGAAAAGAAAACTACAGAGCAAGGGATTGGATGGAATGATTCTGCACCAGGCACCAAGTGGGCTCCTCTCTTGTGCTTTATCTGGGTTAAAAGCATCTAAAAGCATCCATGTTCATCAAATTGAGCATTCACTTGGCTCAGTGGGCCGGAGGTCTGGCAAATGGAGAACAGCAAATCCACACAGAAAGCACTCCATGTGACACAAGTGAAAGGCCCTCTATTTTGTGATGGGTGAAAGAAGAAAATGGAGACAATAAATCACTCACTTGTGTGAGAGAGGAGAGCAAAGAGACACATGAGGTGTGGCCTGCATGGGAAGGACAGCGCGGCCACCAGAGGAGCCTGTGGAGGAGGCAGCTGGGCCCTGCAAGTCATCTGCTCCTCCCATCCTTTTTCCTTTCCTCCTTTCCAGGTGACATGCCCTAGGCTGAGAGAGATGCTGCTGTGCAGGTCACCTGCTATTTAGAAAGCAGATCAAAGGTCTGTGCAAGACACCAGTGTGGAATACAAGAGCTTGAAAGGCACTTGGTTAAAAAGGAAAGGAGCTTTCAGCCTGGCAGGGAGCTGGGAAAGTTAAGGGCAAATATGAAAAGTCCTTCTTTGGACAGAGTGAGCCATCTGTGGTCTCTGGCCTGGCTGCTGCAGCTCAGTCACTGGGGAATACAGAATTACAGGGGAAAGGCAGATGGAAAATGAGAATGGAGTATGAACTGTAATAAAATAAACAATTAAGGCTCTCACCGGAAGTTCAGTCCAGGATGTGCATTTACACAAAGAGAGAGCAAATTCTCCTTCCCTGGCCTCTCTTCCTCCACCCCCACCTCCCGCATTAACCACAGGGTGATTGTCTGGATCCTGGGGAGGCCTGTGGGACTGGCTGATGGATACAGGATGAAATGCTGTCAGTGGAGAATCCCCAGATTCAAGGAACAGCTGGGGTGGTGAATGGAGTATCTGGGCGGCAGATGGAAGGGGAAGGGCAGAAAGAATACAAGGAATTAAGAGAGAGGAAATGCAGAGATGGTTGTTCATTTTCTTCCACAGATGAAAAGCATTTCTGTAATTGTCACTGTATGACAGAATGCTTTTTTTTTTCTTTAATAGAACTGTAGTAATGACGTTTTAAAGAATCATTCTGGGAAAAGATAGGGAGTAGGTTTGGTCTTAAGCACAGCATTATAAAAGAGAATGACAGAGCATAGGAAGGCTCAGGTTAGGTTAGACCAATCTTCTCTACTCTGTTCAAAGGGCACACAAGAAGTCTGTTTCTGATAGTTGGAAAGACCTGTCCTGAAATGTCCAGATCTGGGGAAATGTGAAGCCTGCAGCAATGAGGGAAATGCAAGCTTCCTTCAGCCACAGGAGTCTCCTTCACCAGGGGTGAGCTAATTAATGTATGCAAATCATGAACCCAGAAGGGACAGGAAAAGCTGTTCCAGACTAAGGAGAGATGACCAAGAACCTAGAATTATACCACCCCCACCCTCATTCCAGTAGAGTTAAAAAGGAAGTGATTACCTGATGGAGGCTGTAATGTACAGGTTTCTGAAACCAGGAGGGGGAAACATTATTACACAAGAACAAATCAGAAAGATATGCCCTTAAGAAAGGTCCCAAGGCAGGAGATTTAATATCAGTTATAGGGTAGATGCTTTATTCTGATCATAATTAACCCCATGGAGTTGGGATTATTTCTCTCCATCTACAGATGGGAAAACTGATTCAGAGAGGTTAATTAGTATGCCCAGAGTCACCTGACAGGTCAATTGGAGCCAAGCTGTAGCTTAGATCAGCCTGAATGCAAAGTTCTCTTGACCACATGCCCTCTCTTGAAGGGCCCCCTTGCAGGCTAGATGGGGAAGCATGTTCCTTAGCAGGAGCCAGTGATCAGGGATGATGGGAGGGGTCACAGTGTCTGCTTTAATGCCAGGCCACAGGGAATGCAAGGGAGATAAAACCAGGACACCGGTTTTGGGCTTCACAGGATCAAATGCATCAACCCCCAATAGCCATAAGTTTTGGAATGCTTTCATCTGGAATAACTTTTTTTTTTTTGGTATCTTTACCCAAATAACATTAAAGCAAAGAAAAGCTGTTGGAATCAGTGTGCTGACCAAGTGAATTATTGTCAAGATTTTAACTAATATTATGACTAGAAATCTGCCATCTGTGACCAGTTCATGTCTAGCTCACTGTCTCGTCAGGACTAGCATACTTTCTACTAGAGGCTCCTTGTGGAGACTTTCACCACTCCTGGGCTGATGAGACAGTAAGAGGGCCTTTTTGCAACCTGACCTCTCTTGCCAGTTCAGAAGCCCTGTCAAGTATCTACTGTTAGATGAGAGGGGCATGAAGAAGGAGTTGGGGCCACTTGTGGAGGCTGATTTCTGTAACCAGGTAACAAAAACTGAAATGTATGAAGAATCAATGACGTTTAAGAAGACCTGTGAACAGTGCTGGGAATAAAACAACAAAAGCTAAACTGCTTGTATCAAAGTATAACACCTGCCTTGTTGTGAAGCCTTCAAAACCACGCAAGTATAAAAAATGGCCATACACAGTTGATTCAGAGTAGATTCCCAAGCTTCTTGGCTTCTTGGGATATGGGTGGGGGTCATCTTTTTAAAAATATGAATTTTGAGGTTATTCTCTTGAGAGACTAATTTGGCCAGTAGTGGGAGTCTACATTTTTAATAAACTCCTCAGGTAATTTAAATCATCAGGCAAGCTGGAAAAAAAATCTGTTCTTTCTTTATCTTTTTTTTTTAACCTGATGACTTAACAAAGCATCAGAATTACCTAAGCATCTTAAATATTCAGGTTCTGGGGCAATCTTTTGAGATGATTCTGAGACAGCCAAATGGACAGGCAAGCATTGCTCTAATACTCTAGTTTCCAATTTCTTTAAATATCACAATGTCTGGCATGTCATAAATACTAAATAATATTTGTTAAGCACACAAAGTCGAAAAGCAAAACCTATCATCAGAAGGGCTTTGACCCAAGTTGGGAGCCATCCAGAGCTCTGGCGACTTAGTATCATGTTGCTCCCTGAGATTGTTCCTGGATGTTTTGCTGGATGCTTGTGGCTCCTCAAGTCAGCTTGAGGAGGCCATTCTTCCAAGAAAATAAAGGAGAAAAATAGTCTAAAAAAGGACAAACCAGAGGTTGAGGATTTTCTAGATGCAGCAGAAATGAGATTGAGTCTTGATGGTGATCTAAGAATAGACCACTAACCATAAGAAGAAAAGTGACACAGGGAAGAGGAGAGGCCATATTCACACTAACATCTTGGGATTTTGATCAGTCTCTGTGTTTTTTTCCAGACCTCTGTCATAGGAGGAAGTTAACATTAGACTTGAAATTTTTTTAAAATGCTGGGAGAATTGGAAAGGGCTATGCAATGTATCATTCCAACTACATGACACTCCGGACAAGGCAAAACTAGGGAGAATATAAAAAGATCAGTGATTGCCAGGGTTGGGGTTGGGGATGGATAAAAAATGTACCACAAAGGATTTTTAAAACAGTGAAAATATGCTTTATAAATCTACAGCGGTGAATACACATCATTATACATTTATCCAAACCCACAGAATGTACAACAGCAAGGGTGAACCCTAGTGTAAACTGTGGGCTTTGTGTGATAATGTAGTGTCAATATAGGTTTATCAATTAATTACCACTCTGGTAGGGAACACTGATAATGGGAGGCTAGGCATTTGACGGGCAGTGGGCATATGGGAAATATGTATCTCTTAATTTTGTTGTGAACTTAAACCTTAATGAAAGAAATAACCTTTAAAAAACTTAAAAAGGTTGGTAGGATGGATAGTAGCTCTCTCTCTCACCTGGAAAATCTAAAATAGAGTGTCAGGTAGCAATGGACACTTATTTGACAATGGAGAATTCCTCACTTCACATTTTATCACAAAGTAATGTTACTCCAAATACAGTCATGTACCCCAGACTATTAAATTATAATCTCTGGGGAGTGGGGCCAGAGGTTCTGCATCATAATGATCCAACCCAAGGATTCTTAATGCTGGTAAAGTTTGAGAGACATTACCACACAGATAGTTTAACAAGAATTTTGTACTCTGAATTTTTTTTACTTCTAAGGTATCTTATGCATATCTTTGGAAAGAAAAAATGAGAAGGATTAAGAGAGAAAAAAGGCAATAGAGAAATCACTTGGGTAGGAAAGTTGGGTGGGCCATGCTCTACTTTCTATTTCTACTTTTAACACTGAAAACGAGTCTTAAGTCAAATTTGTATTTTTCAGAGTTACTTCTATTTTATATCAGTCTCAACCCAGCCTTTTGCCTCTTGGAAACTGGATTCCTAAAATAATATTTCTTGCACTTACAGAGAAAGCAATAAGTGGAATAAAAATCATTTCTTATTTCCCTGAATAATAATAATAATAAAACTTAGGCATAGCTCTCGGTTTTACACTCAAGGTAGAGAAAATACTGCTGTTGTCAAAGGAAAAATGCCAAAGGGTAGGTTGGATTTGTTCTGTAGGTTTTATAAATTTCTGTTGCTTTCCTCCCCAGGATGGTGAAATAGGGAAGGATAGTGGTTCTCAAAGTGGGGTTCCCAGGCCAGCAGAAGGTGCATCACCTGCAAATTGGTAAGAAATGCAAGTTCTTGGACCTCACCCCACAGTCAATACCTTAGAAACTGGAATTGTGACCTACCAATCTGTATTTTCCCAAGATTACCAAGTGATTCTGATGCAGGCCAGAGGTTGAGAAAAATCAAATACGATTGTCAGCAGCCACTTAGAACAAAAGCAATGAAAGCTATGCTGATAGAAAAGGAAGCGTCAAGTAGCAGGCATTTGTGATGCCTCAAGTACCTCGCAGCATCCCAAAATATCTCACACTGGGTGGAATGTCTCTTCTGCTCTTGCTGTTGAGGAATGGCACATATAGTGACACCTCGCTGAAGAATATATTTGAACCTTCCAGGCTCTCCACTTCCAATGTAAACCACAACCCTCAACTCTGAGTCATCAACAGAAGGGAGCAGGAAAGACAAAACCACGTAAGCCAGGGTCCTCATCAGTGAGTTCACTGAGAAGAATAATTGGATTGGTTGATCTTTAAGCCTTGCCTGCTCTGACATTCTAGAATTCCTTATGTTTAACCCCTGCCAAGTGGTTATACAAATAAACAAGAAAGGTCAGTTACTGATGGGCTAATGGTAGGGGAAGAGAAGCCAATGTTTATTAGGTGTCTAGGAGCCAGGCACAGTGCTAAGCTTTTTACACTTGATCCTTATAATAAATCTACGTGGGAGACACTAGACTTGTTTACACAGAAGAGAGCAGAGGCCAAGCAACCTCAACAAGGTCATGCTGCTGGTATTCAGCTGAAGAAGGGTTTCTATCCCTTCTTACTCCCAAATGCATGCTGTTCCATTGCTGGGTCTGAAATTGGCCAAGCTCCAAGACCTGGGGAAAGATACCAAAAAAGCAATGACCTCTGAGAGACAAGTCAATCAAATGACTTGTGGAGCGTGCACCTTCCTGTTTGGAGGGTGACCTATGAAGGATCCGCAGATGGGAGAGAGGGCAAAGGTCAAACAGGCCACCCTATCAGCTCCTGTGTGTGGCCATTAATTGAGTGTAAGAAGAGTGCCTTTCCAGCTTCATTCCTTCATCTCTTACTTGCTATTAGTCTAAGAAAGGACAGGACAATGACATGAATAATTCTATGCTGCCAACACTCCATACACTCTACTTTTTCCAGACAATATTCTAAGCATTTCTAATGTATCCCTCATTTATTCTCCATATCAACCCTGAGAAGTAGGTTCTATTAGCCCCATTTTACACTTGAGAAAATTGAGGCATAGAGGTTAATTAAAAAGCTGTGAGGCACAGATTTGAACCAGGAAGTCTAATTTCTGACTCGGGGGTCTGTACTCTCTTCTACCTTCCAAGGTAAGCTTTAACTGCAGTCTTTCTAATCAGATCCTGTATTAGCACACTCACTCTCATGTGTTCTCTAACACACATACACACACACACACATGCAAACACACACACACACATACACACACACACACACACACACTCCTTCCTTTCTTGCTCCTCTTTTTCTCCTCTCTCTTTTCTGTTCTCAGAAAAGATGTTCTACAGCACACTCTCCTCTTTGTCATAGACAGCTCAGCTGACTCCACCCCATCTCACCCAGCATCCACAGCAAATTGGAAAATAATCTGCCAGGATACTTACCTTCTTTAATCCTAGAGGAAAAACACCCCCAGCCTCCTTCCATTCTTCAAAACTGTCCTCCCTTCTTCTCTATCACCAGAAGGAGCTGGTCATCCCAGCTTCTTTTAGAGGGGACTTTAGTAGCTTTAGTCTACAATGCTCCTGTGATCAGGTATTTTCCTGGACCAGAGAGCCTTGGGTTCTTTTTGGAAGAATCTTGTATTCTGATTGTTCCCAAGTCAATTCCAAATATTTCACCTCAAAAGGGCTTAAGGATGATAGATGTATCTGGGGCCCCTGCTTCTATAAATAATTGAAGTCTAAACAAGAAAGCATTTGGCAATATTGGACTTCTGCAGTTTTACTGGTTTGCAAGAGAGGCAGCCTGGAAAGTCACCAGGCATCTCTGGGCAAGCAGATCTTTGCATAGGAAGAAAAGGTCAAGCCAGGAAAATGGGGGGATTGAGAGCAGTTGAGTATAAAATGCCTGCAGAGGAGGAAGAGAAATGCCCAGGAAAAGAGGGCTGGGGCCGTAGCAGCCATAACCACCATGCCATGGCTACCACAGCCATGGCGCAGGAAATTGGGAACAGTAAACTGACATGTGAGGATGGAATTAAAACCTCCATCAGAGGGTAGAATTGTAAGTTGAGTGTGGGACTGAACAAAACAGCTAGTCCAATAGCTGTGTATACAACTTGTATACCTTCACGTGAATGCAGACACACAAAAACATGCCAACACTGTTCTGCAACAGCCCTTTGATTTCAGCTTAGTCATCGCAAAACTCGTGAGTAGCATCCAGCTCTTGAGCAAGAACTCTGGCCTTGCTTGCTAGATCCATGATTCCCCATTCTCCCTGCTTCTCTGTTCAAAGAAACCAGCTTTTCCACCTGTGATCAAATATACAGTAACCAGCTCTGGCCAGAGCTTCAAACAGAGGTCCTGGGAAATATCAAGAGTGCTGTCCAAATCATAACCTATCTCCCTGAACCTCTGACCCCCACAGAGGCCTCTGGCGTCATTAAGAAACTCCTAAGCATCTACCTCCCTGTTGTCTACACTCTCAACTCTCCCCAACCTTCTGGAGAGTCTACATAGAGTTCTTCTAACTACCATCAGTGACAGCACCCTTGGAATGAATCTCTTTCCTTCTTTCCTTTAAAAGCTGATCCTTCTTCTGTGCTGGTGATAGGACCCTTAGTGTTTCTTTTTCTCTTTTTCTAGAAGAATTATCCTGGGGCCAAATGTGCACAGCCCTATCTCAGGCTACCACAGTCACACCTCTTACTCTTCCTGTTCCTTAAGGAGGATCCGACACAGGGGGCTGGAGCAAGTGGTGTAGACCTCCAACAGGCTGTTCATTAGGGATCATTGCTCCCCACGCCCCATTCCTCTTGCGGTGAATACCTCCCCCGTGTAAAGCTCACCTTCATGGTCTTCAGGCAAAGGGGGAAGGGGAGTAAAGCCTCCTTAGTAATGTAAAAACAGGAAAGCCCCCTTGGGATCCCTGACTTCTACAGACCTCTCAGTTTACTACTCATACATACTTCCTGCACTTGGAGGGGGCCTCACCAGGGTCCCTTCCAACCACACTAACTCCCCCCTTCAGTCCCACACAGCTTTGACTCATCCTCCTCATTGTTGTCATTGTCATGATTATCATCAACAGCAGCAGTGGCTAGTCACTATTGTGATTCAACAGCATCTTCATGGTGTACGAGAAGGAAACTAGGCTTCCTGGCCAAAGAATGTCTTGGCAGACTAATTAAGGCCCTATTCTTTGGCATCAGAGGGCCTGGGTTTGAGTCCCAGTTCTTCTAATTACTAGTTCTCGGACAGACACACATAACCATGGGCATACTTCAACACCTGTGAAATGGGGAAATGAAAAACACTTACCTTATAATTTTGTTGGAAGAAGTGATTGGCATTATTCAGTAAAGCACTTATCCAAAGTCTAGTGTACAGGAGAACATCAATAACCCTTAGCTCTCTTTATTAACTCAGGAAACTCATCATGGGTTTGATCTAGAAAGCAGGCACCAAGGCTGGAACATGGTACACAGGAATTTAGAGGCAACTGTCCATGAAGTCCAGTAACCTGGCCTGAATTTTGGAGTATCTGAGTTTTTAAATTAATGGTAAAAAAGCAAAGTAAATCTCTTGGCATCTTAGGATTTTAACTACTTATCCTTCAGGGAACATGAAATGGCCTAAGTAGGTAACTGAGGATTACAGAGGTAACTGTTTATAACTTGTTTGGTAGAGTGCTCCTCTGCTAGAAATCTCTTCCAACCACCCCCTGAATACCCCTTAAAATGCCTTGCCTTTTGGATCAGAGGAACATTATCCATTTTCACTGTCAGTAAAGCCATTTGGGTCACTAGCCTGGGGATCCTATTGGTCAGGCCATGATGATGGCTAGTGACAATGAGCACGTGAGAGATGACTAGTGACAATGAACACGTGAGAGTCAATCTGGCAGTCCTGCTTACACTGTCCATATCTCTCAGTGCCTCGGGCAGTCCTCAGTTGAGAAAGGATTCAGCTACATGGATGGACACGCAGGTTTTAAAGGGACACTAGGCCCTGATAGTGTCTCCATTCACATCATTTCCCCAATAAAAGTAGAATGCTAAATGTGTCTAAGAATGCAATTTGATTTTTATGCCTTTGTAAGATTTCCTCACCAGGTCACTTCACAAAGGTGAAAGAAAAAAAAAAATGTCACATTCCCTGTCAGCAGAACACCTATGTGAAAGGTATAGTCACCAAGCTCCCAGATAATTGTTTAAAAGATTCAAGTGCTATTTATTTCTCGGGTTGAATGACAACATTGCACCAGATGGCTTTGTCTGTAAGCCTTGCTGCTGGTGAGTCAGAAGCACACTGGCCCCCTGCCTCCCTTCTCCTCCAGGAGCTATGATTTGCTATGGGAGGGCAACAGGAATAAAAGGCATCCATGTAACCATTTTTGCTTCCTCTCTACGGAGGATTCTGTTTACGGCACTAGTTCTCTGAGATCCTTTGCCAGTGTCCTCAGGGTGTGCATTCCTAGAGGAAAGTACCCCTTTTGAAAGAGCATCACAAAGAGGGAGGCTAATAGGGCTGCTGAGAGCACTCCCCACACACCCACAGGCACAGGGAAGAACATCCTGAGTGGCTTTCACAAAGAGATAGGGCAAAGGGGAGGGGTGCGAGGTGGGGAGAACAGACCCAGAGGTTGAAGGGCTGTTTACCTTCCCATAGATCCACCGTCTGAAAAATGTCAGTGGTCCTGACGCCATAGATCTCCGCAGCTTTTAGGAACTGGGAGATTTGCTCCATCTGCTTAAAAGCCATCTTTGACTCTGAGATCTTAGGGATGGGCTCTTGTCCTGGTGGATATAAACTGTTTATCAGCTTGCACAGGACCTGAAGGGGGTGGGGTGGGGACACAGAATCAGTGTTTCCCTTTGTAATCAATATCATAAATGAGAAGTGAATCCCTCCCCCACAATATGCACAGCACAAGGCACAGCTCACCAGGTTTGGTAAGAGCAAGTCACAGGCCCCAGGAAAGCATGGGTTCAGGGTTTTGCAGTCAGGCTTCCACACTACACCCCCAAAACTCAGATCGCCCTATTCCCAGGGCTGCACCCCACTACAGGGAGCCCTGCAGCCTATTCCCTTCTTATTCCTCCTTGTTCCCTTTTCAGGACAAAGGAAAGAATATTTACAAATAGGGAATGGCACAAGGTGATGAGGAACATGATTCCACACTTTTAATGAAGAGATGAGTTTATGGTTTCTGGGGGGAGGAAGGGTGGGTTCTGATCTGCCATGTACCAAAGACAGATCAGAATCAGTTTTCAATAACTCATCCCATATGTGTTAATGATGTATAAAAGAACTGAACTTGAACACTGGGTGATATCTTTACCCAGACACCTATAACCCAAGTCCTGGGCTACTCAACGAATACATGGAATAGCAGTTATGTAACAGTAAATCACAGCTTGCAAGAAGAGACGGACTTGTTTGATTCAGTTGAGCCTGTGGTCCTCAAGTCCCCAAAACACACATGACAGCATTATCAAAGAAGGACTCCCTTCAGGGTCCTGAGAACCCATCCATCCACAAATGGCCATTGAGCACCTCCAGGGAGCCTGGTTCCCAGAGGTTGGGAAGGAGGCTACCCCCATCCCCATCCTTTGTTTTACTGTGTAACCAGCAGGTTCCCCTGGGGGAAGGAATGGCCCAGAAGCACTGATGCACCAAGAAGGCTGCAGAGATCACAAGGAAATATTTATCTCTATTCTCAATGGGAAAATCACGAGGGCCTCAAATTTGCCGACAACTCAGAAGGAAGCTGTGAAGCTTGGATAGATGGGGAAATCCTCGGAGCCAGCTAGGGAATTGTGCAGGGAGCATGAATTTTCCAACCCAGAAGAAGAAATAAAGGCATCCCCATCCTTCCCGTGAGAAAGACTTGGCAACAGCAGCTCCTCCCGCGACCTCGCATTGAAAGAAAGAGCCCTGGGAAGGGTTTTCCTGCCCACCACCCCAGCAACAAGATCGCTGCCAGTCTTACCGTCCCGTCCATTAACCATTTCTGAAAATGGGTCCTGCCGGGGGGCGGGTGCTCTATGTCCTCGGCGCACTGCAGGATGATCCAGTCCACCAGCTTGTTCTCCAGGTCCGCGTCGTACTTCTGCTCGATTTTCTCCTGTACCTCTCGGCTTAAGCCATAGCTGGGGCCCCTGTTAGCCATCTCTGGAAGAGAAGAGAGGACACGCGCGGCATCCACACAATAGCAGCCGCAACAGCGCCCGGGCTCCCTGCGAACAGGTCTGGGATGCGGCTGGGCGGCCGGGGCCCAGCAGCAGCGAAACGGGCAGAAAGCCGGGCGTGGTTTAAATGAAGGAGCCAATGAAGCCAATGGGGTTTCACCTACAAACGGGAAAGGAAAGCGCAGCCACGCTCCAGTGACTCTAAAATAAAACCTCGGCCCGTCCAGGGGGGCTGGAACCCCCCCCCCAGTCCCGCCTCTCAAGGAGACGAGATGATGTATGTACAGGGACTCACAATCGAGCCTGAACCCCCAGGCAGTGAGGGGGAGGGGTAGTGGTCGTTTCCTCCACTTCTCGGTAGCGCTTTGCAAAGGCAGCGATGGAGAGAGCGCCAAGAGCAGGTAATTAACAGGCCCAGAGGAACGCTGCCTTGACCTACAGCTGCGGATGCTGCATCGCGCCTGGAAGAATGGCACGCTGATTTGATTTTCTCGGGGTTGACGGGGGTCAAATCAGGGCTGTTGCTAAGAGCCCTCCAAAAGCCAACCCTCTCCTGTGTGGTCGGGCAAACCAGCCAAACTCCCTCCCGCTGGGAGCTCCTTTCTTGGATGCACCATTCCCCCCCCCCCCCTGGGAGACAACAATTGTATGCTAGATCGGCAAACAGCTGCACGAGAGGAGAAGGGCCCCTAGGAGGGTCCCTTTTGCTAACTGTCCATCTGTCAGGAATAGCCAAACCTCTTTCTTCCTGCCACAATTGTGTGGCAGGGCAGGATGAGAGAAACTGAGAGCTGCAATCATTTATTTCTTCAACTGTCAGCCCAGCTTCATCCAGAAACTTCCATGGTGTGGAGAACTGTTGTGCCTCCATCTAGTTTCATTCAAGAGCTTTATCTTTTTAGTGCTATTTTAGAATAAAAGATATTAAGAGCAAGTTTTATAAATTCGTGTCCTATACATTCTTAAGAATGAAAGAATTTGGTAGAGTGTAGAAACATCATCCGTTTATTTCAATTAAGGACCATAAAGGCACAACTGAAGACTGTTGGTGGTAACAAAATATTATATTTGCATCAGCAAACAGACCTAAGGATAAATCATTTGGTTTAAATTGGCCTGAAATTATTGTAACAGTCAAGGGGCTTGGCATTTTGTCCTCCTAGAGTGTAAGATGCTTGAGGATAGATTGAGTCTCACTGGGGTTGTGTAAGTCTCTGGGTATTTTTTATGCAAAACCGAAACAAAAAAAAAAACCATTAAAAAAACCACTCAAATATTTGTTCTTTGGTTCATTTCTTCATTGAACAAATATTTACTGAGTGCTCAATTGTCATAATACTGGACTGGAAAAAATAAAGCATAATTCTGGTTCTAGAAAGGATTGATAAATTGAATAAAACACATTAGAAACAGCAATTCTGGTATATGAATGGGACGGTGATCACTGTCCTTGTGGAAAATTGATCAGAAGCCATGCAGGAATTAACTTTTCAAATAATATATGTATTGAGAAAAATCTTCTGATGCCTGAGGTCTAGAAAATTTAATTACTTAGATGATATGTGAGTGGCGTGCCTGAGAAAAGACTTAGTGGTCAGTACTTGAAGACCTAGAAGAACAAACTCTGGGAAAGACAAGAGTGTGAGAAAGAACCAGTAGCCTTCAGGAGGTTTAGAAATAGATAAGAGAAGGTTTCGAAATAAATAAGGGAAGGGCTGACTGATGCAGGCCTTGATGTTGCATGGAATTTCAGTGAAAAAAATTCTAAAGAATTCCAGACATTCAAAACTTAGGAAGAGAGTTGAGAGAAGGGAGCTCATCAGCAGAATTACAGAAATCACTATTTGCATCTTGGGTGGCAACAATAAGGTTAGTACCAACCTGGGACTCAGGGACAGAGGCTCACACAGAAAGCATATATCTTTCTCCATGGCTGGAATTGCTCTAAGGAAAACCTTGGTTTGATATACAAAGAGGGATACAATTCTAAAGATGCACAATTGCCTCCCCCCACTCCATCTTTTGTATCCAAAGTTTCCTTACAATAACAGAATAGCTGAGGTGCTTTAAATGAATGTTGAACCTATGATTCTGGAGAGGATATAGTGGCTGAGGGGGGCCACATCAAGGCATAGGTTAAATTATGTGCAGAAATCTAGAGGAAGGAGAGAGCAAGAGAGAAGAGAAAGAGAGGGAGAGATGGGGGAGAAAGAAGAAGAGGGGGGGGAGAGAAAGGGAGAGGGAGAGGGAAAAAGAGGGAGAGAGAGGGAGAGAGGGAGGGAGGAAGGGAAGAGAGAAATGCTTGATCTCCTGCAGGGACAGAGGTGTGACAATGGAAATTTTCTGAATACCTACTAGTATTATAGTTTTTTTTTTCTCAACAAATTTTCAAGAGCTCATATATGGATCAGATAAAAAAAAAAAAAAGAATGAAACATAAAACCTTGTTTTTGCTGCAAAGTTAAACTTGTAAAGAGTAAATGCCAGGTACTCAGGTTGTTACAATTATTAGAGGAAGAGGTCAGGGAACTAGGGTTTATAAATGAGATGACTTTAAGTATTGAAAGAGGAATAGGCATTTGCCAGGTAGATGGGGTGAGGAAAAAGAGCTATGAAAGGTAGCTGGAAAAAGGCAGCTTAATTAAGAAGAAAATGTTCTAGTACCAATAAAGTAGAAGATTAAAAGGAAGTGACACAAAAAAAGTTTTCAGGAATTTTGAGAACCAATTTTTAAATTCAGCGGTAGTTTTGCAAGTAAATTATATACTTATTCTTGCTGTTTTACAAAGTTTAAATACTCAAGACCAATTGCTTGTTGATTTATTTTGCTATACTTTCTTGTTACCTGTGTTCTTAAGAATATTTGTGCTGATTGTCTCTATATGGTATAAATACTATGTAACCGTGTGCTAGCAGGCATTTCTTCTCAGTTTTGTGTTCAGAGATGTCATGGTAGTAGTTTCAAAAATCTCAATTTATGCCATGGGTGTTGGCAAATGCTACAAATTTGGGTTCTGTTTTTTTTTTTCCCCCAGACCTAATTGTTAAACATTTACCAGATTTGCATGGACTTATGCATCATGCAAAGGAGTTGGAGATTTTTCATCGGGTAAGAAAACCATGAGATATGATTTGGGTAAAAGGAGACAGACAGAATGACTCACAGTTTAACTTGTATAACAAAAGTGGTGTCATCATTGCAAAAGGACTCATATGTAGGATGATACATAAAGGGGAAAAGATAATAAGGTTGGGATTTACTGTATTTGAGAGGCTCATTAGACAGTTGGTTTTATGAGTCTGGAGCTCAAGAGAGCTGTAGGTTATAGGAATATACTTGAATCATCTGCATGTAGGTAGTAGTTAAAACCATAAACATTGGTGATATTGCTTAAGATGAGTAAGTAGCATGAGAAGACTGGCAAGACCAGAACTCAAGAGAATATTAAAAGCTGTACAAAGAGAAGTTCACAAAGGAGTTGATGTGGAATGTCGGAGATGTCTGAGGATAAGCAATGTCAAACAAATCTCAACTCAAAGGTCCTTTGAGAGAAAAAAGCTGGCATATAGGCTGAGAATTTTACTCTACCACTGAGCTACAGCCCCAGCCTTTGACAACAGTAAGTTGTATCAAAAAGGCATGGACAAACCAGGAGTTGTGGCACACACTTGTAATCTCAGCTCCCTTAGGAGTCTTGAGACAGGAGAATCAAAAATCGGCCAGGCAACTCAACATGACCATGTGTCTCAAAATAAAATTTAAAAAGGGCTGGGGTGTGGCTCACTAGTAGAGCACTTGCCTGGCCCACAGAAAGCTGTGGGTTCAATACATACACACATACACACACACACACACGACCAAGCACTGAACTCCCTGGAAAAAGGAAGAAGGGAATGAGTCAGGAAGGTCTTCACAGAGAAACTAACTGGCATCTAATCCTCTGTTGTTCAAGTCAGTCAAGAATGAAGACCAAACTGAGCTGCTGCTTTTTTGGGGGGGAGACAGACGGGGGTTGACGTTGCTGGGGATTGAACCTAGGGTCTCAACACACTAGTCAAGAGCTCTGAGCTACATCCACAGCCCAAGCTTTTTCTTTTCAGCTTCTTTTATTAGCAGAAGCAAGTTAAGCTGTCAGTTGAAACCTGAACAACCAAGAAAAGGAAGATAAAACAAGAAAGGATATTTTCCGACAAATACATATTTGGTTTAAAAAACTGCCTGCATTTTATTCTACTTATATTCTGTAAACATACTATCACATTTTTTTTCATAAACAAAGTTATGTATTCTGCTTGATTGCTTCCAAACCAAAAAGTTTGATGCACAGTTAATCTTAACAAAGGTGTACATCAGCCCTCTGCAGCCACAGTTCACATATTTGAGGATCCACCAAATGCACACTTAAAATTAGCTGAAAAAAATGTATGTAGTACTGAATATGTGAAGACCTTTGTCACTGTTTCTTAAAAAATATAGAATAACAGCTATTTATATAGCATTTACATTATACTAGGTATTAGAAATAATCTAGAAATAACTTATGCTGGATAGCATAAGGTATATGCAGATGTTGCATTATTTTACATAAGGAATGTGAGCATCCTTGGATTTTGATATCCTTAGAAGGTATTGACACAATCCCTGTTGCAGAGAAGGGAGATTTAAATGTCATCTGCCTTCTTTCCTCCTCTAGAAAATAAGGGTTCTTTAGATTTTTTTTTTTTTAAGCTGTTCCAAATTCAATGAATAGTAGACATGGACAATTTGGAAACTGTCCTGGAATTTATGAGGTGAGGTACTTCTCTTAACCATCTTCATGCTTTTAAAACTCAAGTCTTGTCCAGAACTCTTCTCTTCCTCTCATCCACACAGAACTCTCTATTGGCTGCTTGGAGAATGACATACCGTTTGTGTCTGGAAATGTTTCCAAGATAAAAAGATATAGAAAAAACAAAATATATTATTTGGCCTTAACCTTCCTTTACACGGATGTTTGTCTTATTCCTTTCCATTGCATATGCCGAAATACTTCAGAGGAATCACATCACTTTAAAAATAATACAGAAATTCCAGAGGATAATGCACACAGGGGCTGCTGGCTGTTCATGCAATTCATGTCACTGAATACATAGGATGGGGCAGTTGGAGTAGTTTTGGAGGAAAAATAGAAAATGTGGGAGGCCAACCTCACATGTGACTGAGTTAACTCCCCTGTTGGGCAATGTGGCATCAGCACCCATGCTGCTAGACTGTCCCACTCTTCTAGGGTTCAAGTGACTTCTGTCTTCCTGCCTGGGGCATGTCTTCCTACAGCCCCATGGGTGGAGCTATGTTCACCTGTTCCTTTGTAATATTACCCCTTGCCCTGTTTAGGATAGAATGTTCCATGGAAGTGCCTTGTGTGTGTCCCCTTCTCTTACTGTGCCCTTGGGTGTGGCCTACCTAGATGTCAGTCAACCTGCTGACAGTGGACATCATGAAGATAGACTCAGCCCCCTGAAACCTGACCCCTAGCCTCATTTGAATAGCTTTTCCTCAATAATAGAGGTCAGCACATGTTCTCTCTTTCTGCAGACCCTTAAGGTCAGAGGAGCCGTCACAGCGACCCCAAAGAAAAAGGTATTTGTGTCTCTTGTGTGCTTATTTTGCACAGTCCAAAAGTTAGCCCAGTTTACCTGGAGTGACCCCTGAGCGTTTTAGTAGAGAACAAAAATCTGGCAAGAAAAACCACAACAGTAATTAACAATGTACTAGAATACACTAAATTTCACCTCATTTAGAATTTGTGATGTCAACCTCTGCAAAGCTGAATTTTATAATAGCTTTCTTTGGATTATGAATTTCCCTTTTTTTAACCACTGAATATTTGAATGAACACCATAAAATTAACATTTTAATTGGGATCCTTGTATTAAGAAAGTCAAATTCAGTTCACCTTTAGTAGCCCTACCCATTTCTTTCTTCCACCATGGATTATTTGTGCCCATCATTCTTACTGGACTGTACTCTGTACATAATACAAATAAAATTAAAAGGTAGTGCTTCCCATGTGTTTGGCCTTATATCCTATTATCTAGGTTTATATTATGTCACTTTACAGGTGAGGAAACTGGGTTCAGTGATACTAATTGCTCAGGCATAGAGCTAGTAAATGGGAAGCCATGATTCAAATCCATGCATGAGTTCCTGCCCTTAAGCACTGATTACTGCCTCTGCATAATTATGTACCTCTATTTATACTTACTCCATTTTGCAATCATGTTTAACCTCAGAGAAGTCTCATGGGCAGAGACCCTTTCTTATTTTTCTTAGTAATCTTCATGCCTAGCAATGTCCAACTGACTCAAGAACAGCCAATGTCACTTCTGTCAATCCACAGCACCAGGCACTATGGCACACAAATCTTTTTTATTAGGATTTACAGTATACAACACAACAAATGGATCAGAGCTTAAGTGCATCTTTCTGTGTCAGGCATCCTCAATACCACCCCCAGGTTCAAAAATTTGCTAGGACTCACAGGATTCAGTATGTAGTTCTAATCACAGCTATGATTTACTACAATGAAAAGGACACATAGCTAAATTAGCAAAGGAAAAAGACACATGCGATGAATGAAATCTGGGAAAACTAGGTGCATGCTTTCAAGAATCCTAGCAGTAGAGTCACAAGGTTGAATTTAGTTTGCCAAACAATGAGTTTTTATAGCAGCATGTGAAATTTTCTGCCAGGAATAGATCAATATTCTGGACTTCCAAGTGTTCAGCACAAACCAAATTTTGTGCACAGTTTAGGCACAGTGAACTGCTTCAATCAGATGTGAGAATAGTGGGAGCTCCCTGAAATTCAAGTTCCTAGAAAACAGCCATGGACCAACCAACCTTCTAAAGCAGGTCTCTAGAGATAATCAGTCTGCTCTTAACACCTTTCTAAACAGCAATTTTATCCAAACCTTTTTCCTGTAATGCTTATAAATACTGTTTCTTAAAATTGTCCTTTGAATCAGTTTACTATCTTCTGACTCCCTCATTATCAAGTTAAATAAGTCTTTACACATGCTCATTTCATATGAGTCATGTTGTCAACTTTATAAAAATTTTACTTTGAAATAATCCAAACAGCAAAAGTCAAGTCTAGCCAAAATTAACAGCTAAAAACTACCAACTCAATATTATCAAGGCTACTAAAAAAGTTATACTTTTAAAAAAACCCTTTGTACTTGCATTTTATATTTTCCCCCCCTGATTCTCTACACTTCAGAAAGCCCTTTAAGTGGCAATTACTTGGCTATTTGTACTTAGGGCACAAATTAATAAAAAGTATTTCTGCAAGTGGGCAATATTAAAAAGATCAATTTTCTCTTTAGTTTTTACCAACCAATTTAGAAATTATTTTATATCACTGTAAAAAGCTGTGAGCCTTTAAAAGACTAAAAACCTTAATTTTAAATTCAAATGATATTCTTATTTTTAAACTTTCTTATGCTTTAGACATTTCAAATTTATTTCAATAAACATCTTCCTATTTTTGTGAACTGCATTTTAAAATCAGAATTTTATAAATTTCCATTTATAAATGTGGCAAACAAAACCCAAAATATTCAAATTTTATTAATAACAGAACATAAGAATTGGCAAGGCTAACATATACATAAGGAAAGCAAACATCTCTTGAATAAAAAATAGGAAATATTTTAACGGAATTCAAAGACTGAAGGAAGAAAAAATTTTTCTAAACAGCAGCCGCCGGTACTTCCATCACAATGTGTATTATTTGTGCAAAGACATAATTAAATAAATACTTTTCTGATATTTACAAAATAGAGGTAAGAGGGAAAAACCTACAGTATAAGGGTCTTTGATTTGCTGTATTGCTTTCAATCTTCTGAATAATTTACATACCTATTAAAAATGTGATTCTAGTGAACTACGTTGAAAGCTTATCAATCAAGTCATCAATAGTATAAACAAGAAGTTGAATGTCTGCTTTTTCCTTCATTCTATGATCACTATGTTTTCGGAGAATGACATCTACATCTTTGCTGACTACTTGGTCAGCAACTTGCATAGATGTATGCCAAGGTACGATGTCATCCTTCATGCCATGGAGTAATCTTATAGGGCAGTTCACAGGAATTGGACTATGTAACAAGCAGTGGTGTTCTGCTTCCTTAATGAAACTGTATGGAATGTGATAAAATCCTTCTTCATGATATTTGGATGGCATGGACCACACACCTTTTATCTCCACTTCCTTTTTTACCTATTGGGAAAAATTAGGAAAATAAAAGCATGTAAGTAACATTAACACACGCAATAGGCTTTGTCTCAGGAAAGCAGACCTTGCATAAGAGGACAAAAATATAACAATAATAATTATCAAAAATTAAATATCATAGGGCTGGATTGTGGCTCAGAAGTAGAGCGTTCGCCTAGCACGCATGAGGCACTGGGTTCAATCCTCGGTACCATATAAAAATAAAGATATGTGTCTACCTATAACTAAAAAATAAATATTTAGAAAAATACTATGTGCAAGGTGCTATGATAGGTACTTTACACATATTATTTCATAAGATCTTGATAGGAATTCTGTTATCATTCCATTTTTATAAAAGTAGATATTAAAGTTTAGAGAAATCAGAAATTATGTTTGGAGTTCAAAGTGAATGTTATGGCTATGAATCAAATTTAGATTTATCTAACTTTATCACACTGCTTAAATCAGTTATCACTTCACTCCAACTAAAAGGGCAATAAGAGAAAAGTACAATAATTTCTAGGAATCAGTCCAAGAATACACTTATATTTACTTAAAATCAGATCTTAGAATAAAAGTTGTTTAAATTTCAAAATCGTAAAATGAAAAGAAACCATAAGAAGTATGTAGAATGGGTGTGGAATACAGGAAAAATCCAGCATAGAATTAAAAATGAAAAATAAGACAGAAATGAACACATGTTCATGCAATTTTAGGCTGAAGGTAAAATGTATAGTTTTTACTTTTCAGCATTTTAGAAATGAGAAAAAAAAATAGCTTGGTTTGAATAACACAGAAGTCTTCCAAATACTTCCTGAAAAACTTAAAAATATATTTTCTAGGTTTATTACCTTAAAATGAAATATTATATGTTCTATAAATCCTTTTGAGAATTTCTAATTTTGAGATTATAATTCATCTCATTTTTCCAAATTAAAAATTAGAACTTTCAATGAATAACATATACTTATTAATCAGAGCAAATATAAGCAAGTACACTGAAAAAAATCCTACTTCATGGAAATAACAATCCTTTTTATTCTGACTTTCAGGATTTTTATGCACTTGGTTTTTATATATGTAATATGTAAAATATGTTATCTATTACATATCCATATACAATTTTCTATAATGCTTTATTAATTTAATATTATTCCTGGGTTTTTCAAAATTCTATAGTTTTTAAAGGCTGCAGAATGGTCTACTATGATCAACTTAAAATAATTAGCTTGACCATTCCCATATTATTATTCACTGAATATCTTTAAAAATAAAGATCTGTACATAATATCTGAAAGCTGTGCTTCTCAGTATGTCTCCAAATGATTTTAAATTAATGAAAATTCTATAAGATAAAAAAATGTATGAATCTATTAATACATGGGGTTTTCTGTAGTAAAACAACATATAAACCAAATGTTTAAAAGAAAAATGATATTCAGTCATCTTCAACCAAGATTGTTCATTAATTTGTATATTTCAGTAATTAAAACTTAGTTCCATTGGCTATTGAATGATATAGAAGCTAGGCTAATTACTGAGACACTGAATTAATAATATTCACATTACGCACCCTGACCCCCAACTATCTGTTATCTACCACTGAATTAAATGAATATATTTCATTTCAAGAACAAGTTATTAACTTTATAAAATATTTCATGTCCCAAACTCTCAAAAACAAAAAGTTCAAAAATAGCAAAAACAGTATTATCCCAAGAAAACATTCAGTATATGTAATTTTTTATACAAGAAGAAATTATCATCAAGGCAATGTGATCTTCAGAAGCTTAGATTCAAAACAGCTGTGCATCCTGTCTGAGGAGACGATTAGCAGCAGTTATGAGAGAGATCAAGTTCCAAGGCAAACAATGAGAAATGTTGAGTTTAAAATTCCCAAAGTCAAAAACGATGTAAAATTCTCTCCTGTTCTCTTAACATTGTTATGGCTAGCTATTTGTGTGGAAAAGAGACAGTGGTCCCAATATCCCTGCTCTTTCCTTTTACATGCTTATAAATCAACAACTTTGCTAATGTGATCTAGAATTAGCAAATATATGCCCTGATCTTCAGACTAGAGGTCTATACAGTCATTAGGGACTATACACCACATCCTCATGCTGAGTGATGCGGATACACGTATATAAAAGCAAATGTACATAGATCTTGTCCTATGTACTACAAAATAAAATAGTTTTTAACTCATTTTCATTCTGCCACATTTTTGAGATAATATATGGCACAGATTGCAATGCAGAACTTGAGGTAAAAGTCAATGACATCCTACTATTCAATACTACATACTTTATTATCTTCTTTTTATTTCTTTCTTTCCTTCTCTTTCTGAATTCTCTATAGCAGTGGTTCTCAAATTTTACTCTGGTGGCCTCCTGTTAATACAAATTACTAGATCCACATCCTCAATTTCTAATTCATGGTAAAGCTTAAGCTCAGGAATTTGCATTCTTATCAAGTTCTGAGGTGATGACTATCTGCTTGACTGGGGAGTGTATTTTTAAAACCATTGTTCTTGACTGTTTTTTAGTCTTTAATTTCTGTGCCTTGACCTGCCAGGAGCTTAGTCCCACATCTGAAAATTTAGGTCTCTAGGAAAAAACAACCCAGGGAGAATTCAATTAATTAGAAAACACATAAAACTATACAAAAATAAGAACCTATTATTCATTATTTAATTTTTTATTGTTGAAAATAAATAATATGCTTAAACATATGGCCAAGAATAGAATGTAATAAACTAGCTATCTTGACAGTTATTTCAAAAACCTCATTTGTATCATGATCTGTTAAAAAACATGCTAATAACAAAAAGCCCCTCTTCCCCCTGCCTAAGAATTTGGAGTAGAAAAAGAATGCTACTATGTAACTAGTCCAGAATGACAAATTTTATCTATATGCACTGATTTTTGGCTGATGTCTGTCTATCCCGAAGATCTGAGGCTGCTTTCAGGCTAAAACAAATTTTAAATTGTTTAGTTCAGTTTAAAACAGTAGTGGGAATAGGTAGTACTTACCTAAATGCCACAAAGTTAAGGAGGCACAAAAGTAGTTCATGATATGTGATCCAAACACATAAATGTGATTAATAAAGAAAGTCTTCTTACTTAGTGAGACCCTGTCTCAAAATAAAAATATAGTAAAAAAAAAGGGCTGGGGATATGGTTCAGTGGTAATGCACAATGTATCCCTGGTCCCTGGATTCAACTACCAGTACAAAAAAAAAAGCAAAGAAAGTCTTCGTAAAAAATAAATCACAAAGTATGATTTTATTATTAATGTGGCTCAAATATTTGGAAGAATGACTTGAAAGGAACTGTAAAGGAAACCTTAAGCAAGAGACCAAACAAACTTTGTAAAGAGACCATACAAAAAAATCAGGTAAAATAAAAGATGAGCCAACATGATGTCAAGTGACAGATGATACATAAACCAATATTCAAAAAAAGATAAAGTAGAAGAATAATAGGAGGTACACCTCTGGGTTTACCAAAGTGACCTGTGACTCACCTCAACAGGAAGCTGATTAAACTGTGTCACTAGGCCATCTGCAGCTGTAGCTACACCAATAAGAGCCATGACCTTATCTGGCCGTGCAACTGCAGCATGAAGCATAAGCCATCCACCAAGGCTAGATCCAACAAGTATCTAAGAATAAAATTATATTACCATTTTAGAGAGGAATGTTTGTAAGGGAAGTAAGTAGTTTAATATAAATATAAATATATGTATTTTTTTCTTCTATATACACATAGCTACCAGACTTTTAATATTTGGCACAAAGTAAAATTCAATTATAATTAACTCTGTAGAAATATTAGGCAAAAATTTTGAAAATAAAATTCATACAATGAAAAGTAAATTGTTATTTTTTATTAGAAAGTTAAAAATGATGGAAAATGTTAAATCAAAATTGTTCATAAAACATTGTTAAACATTTAAAATATTAAATTTTCATATCTATCATGAGACTATAATTTATAAAAACAGTCACCTGTGGTCCTTCAGCTAATTCATCAATTATAGAAAGAACATCTTTTCTCCATTTCCCCACTGTGCATTCTTCTGATTTGCCATCTGAACTTCCAACTCCTGAGTAATCAAACCTGAAAAAAAACCAAAACATTTATACCTAAATGTTTATGTATCTCTGTATATCTGCTTCTTTAATTTTGAAGATGGTACATTCGTTGTTATTAAAATATCAAAAATATAGTGAAAAATCATAGTATATATATTTTAGCAAATTGTATTGGCTTAACCTTCAAATATCTTCCATTTCCAATCACTTCCTTACCTGCTCCACAGCTAGCCCAACTCATTATCACCTTTCAAATGGACTAATAAAAAATCTTTCCATAAGTCTCCTGGTTTCTATTTTCCACTTGCATATTCTATTCTCCACATAGAAATCAGAGTGACCATTTTTAAACAGATACATGTGTTACACAAACCTTCCAAAGGCTTTCTATAATCTTCAATAAAACCCAAAGTCCTTACCATATTTTGGACCCTGACCAATTTTCTATTAGAGTTTTTTTTATTAGAAATCTTATCTCTTACTGTTCTTTTTCCCTCCCTCCCAACTATATTCTCTCTTCCTTTACTGAATTCAAGGAACACAACATCCACTTCCCTGCCTCATCAGCTCTCCTTTCTACATGGTATATTCTCTCTCCAGATATCCATCAAGTTGCTCTCTCACTTCATTCATGCCTCTGGCTCTAATATTATACCCCCAGGAAAATTTTCTCTGGCTGTTCAATCATTAAAATTATGCTTCATTCATCATTCTGTATTTCCTTTCTGTTTTATTTTCTTCATAGCACTTATACTTGACAGATAAGACACTTGATCATTGATTTGTAGCCTGTCTTCCACACTGGAATGGAGGCTTCAAATGGGCCCATAGTTTGTTTTGTTTACTCCCGCTTTCCCAGTGTCTAGATCAGTACTTTGTAAGTGGTAAAAGTTCAATACATATTTGCTGAATTAATGGTAAGGAAGGAGATCAGAATCAAATTCATCATTATGAACCTATACATTTCTCCTTGTAACTTTCTAGGTATCCAGGGGCAGTTTATATGATCTGTAAATTTTAATTCTCCCTTCAGGTCCCAATTCAATAAAGTATCAATACCATGCCTACAGATTATCCTAAACTTCAGTCATATTAAACTTTTCTCATTTCCCAGACAAGTCCTTTCATAACTCTGAGCCTTTGCATGCTGTTCTACTATTTACAAAGCCTTCTTTCCCTGCCCAAACTCCTAGCTGTTCTTTAAGTCACATCATATAAACTTGTTTTTCTCTCTGCATTCTTTCAATAGATAGAAAAACCTCACTGAATTTAACAACATCTACTAAATGAATAAAACTGGAAGGAAAAAGAAAAATTACTTTATTCAAATATCAAAGTTTTCTTGCTTTTTTGATTCTGAAAATCTAGTGAAAACTAGTGAATCTTTGTTATTAGAGTATATGAAATTATTTTATTATTAATTTTATTTTTAAGTGATAAAAAAAAAAAGAAAGCTGGGTACGGTGGTGCACACTTGTAATCCCAGCAGCTCAGGAGGCTGAGGCAGGAGGGTTGCAGGTTCAAAGCCAGCCCCAGCAAAGACGAGGTGCTAAACAACTCAGTGAGACCCTGTCTCTTAAAAATATACAAAATAGGACTGGGGATGCAGCTCAGTAGTCAAGTGGCTCTGAGTTCAATCCCCAGGTGCCCAAACAAAGAAACAGAAATTTACATTTTCTTTAGGTTTGAAATTAAATGACTTCATATCTTTGGGAAATCTGAACAAGGCTGTTACTATAGTCTAAAACATAGTTATTGTTCCATCATCAATCCAGGGTACCCAGAAGATCAACTAAGGAGAAGAGTGCACTGGATTTCCTTTCTTCCCTCCTTGGTGGGCAATGAGGTATCATTATATGCTGCATCTTTTACAACTACCTTCCAAATATATGGAGAGGTTGCAAAATACTTGTGAAGCTCCTTTATGAAAAAAATATAAGCATACCTCAGAGATACTGCAGGTTCAGCTCCCCACCACCATAATAAAAAGAATATTAAAATAAAGAGAGTCACACAACTTTTTGGCTTCCCAGTGCATATAAAAGTTAGGCTTATGTTATATGATGGTCAATTAAGTATGCAATAGCAGTATGTCTAAAAGAAAGTACATAACTTGATTAAAAAATACTTTATTGCTAAAAATGACATCTGAATCGTTGGAAAAATGATGCTGAAAGACTTGCTTGGTGCAGGGTGGCCATTAACTTTGAAGCTGTAAAATATGCATTAATACATTTAGTGATGCTAATAGGTTACAAATAAAAAATATATAGCTCCCTCTTGCTGCATCTTAATCCAGAGACAAAGGATACTAATTCAAACAATTTAGTATTTTTAAAACATTTTTTTTTCTGGTACCTGAGATCTTCCTGCCTTAGCTTCCTGAGTCACTGGGATTACAGGTATGTGCCACTGAGCCCAGCTATTTTTAAGACTTTTAAACAGCAATATAACTTTGTTCTAGCAGCTTCAATTTTTCAGGGGCATAGGCCCAAATTAAAAAATACCACTAGAAATAATTATGAGAATGCTAGCCTGAGCAGCATGTGTGTGTGTGTGTGTGTATGTGTGTGTATGTATATATATATATATATATGTATATATATGTGTATATATGTGTGTGTGTTTGCTTGAATTCTGATGCAATTTTACTTTACATGCAATGTGATAAGACATTATGAAACCATTTTTACATGGCATATGTACCATTTCTTATCTAATAAATTAATCACTTCATCTTAACATCTAAATTTTATAGTGAGAATTACAAAAAAAGTAAATTGAGAAATTAGGAAAAATATGTAAATTGAGGATAAAATTTCTTGTAGTAAACTAAAATGCAATCAATAGTTAATAGTGACTATACTGTAATGAAGTTTGATAAGGTCAAATAAAAAAAATCTGATCAAATTAAAAATTTTAGTAAGTGGGCTATACTTTATAGTTATTGTTCCATCATCAATCAAGGTATAATTTATATTAGTATACCATCCAAAATGCAGAAAATTCACAGTATGTCTTAGAGAGAGAGGAACAGGTTATAGTTCTCACAGGCTCAGCTGAAATTTAAGAATCAGTAAAAAGGTGATTTGTTAATTCAAATTTGGGTGGGGGTCAAGAAATAGTAATAGCAATATTTGTGATATGATATTCTGCTAAGGGCAGCCTCCCTCCCTGGACAGAAGTTCCCTCTTATTTAAATCTTAACTACTTTTCAGTGCTCCTTTATGAGGTCTTTTCCATCCACTTCAATCCTCAGTTTTCTCTCACCTTACATAACTAAGTATGTTGCTCTTTTTTTTAACATTTATTTTTAGTTATAGGAGGACACAATATCTTTATTTCATTTTTATGCGGTGCTGAGGATCGAACCTGGTGCCTCACTCATGGTAGGTGAGCACTCTACTTCTGAGCCATAACTATAGCCCAGTATGTTGCTCTTCTGACTATCACATTCTGATGAGTATTTCTGCCTAATTTCCTATCTGAATTGTCTCCACCCTGATTGAAAGAATCTTAAGGACAAGTACAATGTTTTATAATTCTTATTATTCAGCACCCAGTATAATGCTAGAGACTATTTTCAAAAAAGTACTTGTCTTCAGAATAACAATTAAGTTGGAAGAGATTTTAAAGAGCTCTGACCATGAAAATAATTCTGATAAATTGCTGGGAGGGAAAAAGACTAAATCCATATAATTTATATAAATTCTGCTAATAGGTTGAACAGAGAATATCTAGCTATATTTTATAGAACTACTGAATATTAGTAAAATTACTTTAAAAACTTAGGTGAATAGATTTTTGTGCAGTTAGTGCTTAAAAAAAAAAACCCTCAGAAATTATATTTAACTTAACCTCCTTGTTTTGACAAAATTTGGTTCAGTGTTTATTGACTGACTTGTCACCATTACTGAAAGAATTTACTCTAGAACTCCAAATTCTTGAATTCCAGGCTAATACTCTTTTGACTAAACCATACTCTGCTATTAAATTAGATAATAAATAAGTGACTGTTACAGATAAACTTGACAACAAAGTGAACAAATTATTTTATTAATATAATTGCTGGGGTGAAAAATTAGGAAATGTAAAATTAATCTTCAGTTAAACACCACCAATCCCTATTTATGCTTATAAATACTAAGATTCAAGGACTGAAAAAAAAGAGTAAACTCAGCAAAAATGTGAATCATAGAACACTAATTTTACAATACTTTTAAGTACATAAATTACTTTTAGTTACTTTGTGTTTATGTGTGTGATGCTGGAGATCTAACATGGGTTCACACTGAAGTATACTAAACACTCTTTTGCAACTAAGCTACAACCTCATCCCTAAATACACATTTTAGAAGGCAATAAACAGTGGTCAAATAAAACCTTGTGTCTCCAGGGGGAAACCACAATAAAATTAAAAGAGATTACAAGAAAGCCAACTAATATGTCTATTTTCTTACATATCCTTTCCTACCACTATTGTCAGTCAGCACAAAGACCTTTTAAAAAGGTCTTTAAAGGTTGCTTTTACAGTCACCCTAAATCACAAGATGAAAGTTTACAGACCATTAAAATAAATTAATCTAGAAAAGTGTTGGCATTTACTTCAATTGGTTACAGCAGAAGTAATTCTCCACCACCATGCTAAATAATATCAATGTTCTCTGAAATGTTTTGTTCCTACCTTATACAGGCGTGACCTAGAGATTTGCAAAACTCCTCAATTGCCATTGCTTTTGTACCATTCATATCAGAACGATAGCCAGGAATGAAGATAACTCCTGGACTTTTGCCTTTTAGCCTCTTATAAGCCAGTCTGGGGAGGTCTTGTCGATTAAGGAAAGAGACTGATGTCTTCTGTCTGCAAACTAAACAAAGTACAAAAAACATAAATTATAATTTTTAAGTACATTTTTTTGAAAATCATATATAAAACTTTACCTTTCTTAACTCATTGATATTAAATACCATTTCATTTTGATAGGGGAAAAAACAGACTAAATTAACAAGTATTAAATTCATTAGTCATGGCATCTTTGTTTTACAACTGTGTCAAAACCAGTAACTTCAAGGTCCAATCTTCCAAATTACACAATGAAGTAGAAATTTCAAGTAAATAAAAGAGATACATCAAAAACCATTTTCCTATTGCTGCTACATAACCTATCCTCAACAGTGTTGATGAACATTAACTATACTAGTTAAAACCCTCTTTTTGGAGATTTTGTCATCTTTTTTATTGTTTGAGGAGTTTCACATTCTCTACTCTTTGAATTGCAAATATTTTTGGAAAGATTTCTCATAGGACTCTGCAAACACTATTTATTTGTGTTGGTTTGGCTTTTCATGAATGATACACACAGGTATTAGAATAATTTAATTAGAGCAGCACAAATGGTGAACTTTACAAAGTCAGTTCATTTCATTCTTTAAAAAACGTTTTCCCTAGAATAAATCAATATTTGATTAAAGAGATCAAAAGATATAGTATTTAACACACACCCCTCTTTCTCCCTTCAAAGCCATTACATTTGTGTACTTCCTTATAATGTGGGGTCCTCACCTACCCCACTAACCAATTTCTTTTACATTAAATGGAGCTGAGCTTGCGCCACTTTCTTGCAGCTAGGGAAAACCTCTCAGTTCCCTCCATATATGCTGTGAAAACTTTCCCCATTTTGGATTTGTTATGTTTATTTTTAAAAAAGCTTATTTGAAGGCTTTAATGCTCTCCCTTTTACATATAAGCCTGTTTCAAAGTTTCAATATATAGAGAAATATGCCCAATTTAAAACGTTTGGTAAAAAATGGGCCAGTTGTTGGTAATCAATTGTATCAGCAATGATTGTCATCTTCCATTTCCTCAGTTAAGCACTCAAAAAACTCCTTTCTCTCATCTTCCAGTTATTATATTGGCTGCATAAGAATTTCCCCAAGACAATTATAATTTATTTAAAGTGAATATATTCTTAACATCATATCCATTAATCATTTTTGTACAATAAGGATTAGCTGAAAGCTAGGTACATAAATGCTCAAAAAGTATTTACTAAACAGAAGAGTATACCCTTAATGAGCTTAATGAACGGACATTCTATACTTGGCTAGTACTTATACATAATACATACTTTTCGTTGTGTATAATTACAGTTAAATTTACTATGTAAGTTTAACTTTTAAAATTAGAAACAAAAGCTCTCTACAATGACCAATTAATTACTATCCTAGATACCAAGCATCTGACAGCTATGTGATAAGGGTGTGAAAAGACAAAGGACAAAATTCAACAAGACTTCAAGACTTTTTTTTTTTGTGTGTGTGTGTATGTGTATGAGAGTCTCTGATGTTTGATCCAAAAACGTGTTTCCTTTGTAATAATTATGGCTCACTCACTGAATAGGAGCATCAAGAAAACAACACTACAAAACTAGGATTAAAGAGTGGCAGCTACACTTTTAAAAAGAACATGCCTCATATTTTAAGTTTCAAGTCATGGGAGGGCAGGTCTAAGTATTTTAAATCGTAAAGCCCCCAAAGCGAGTAAAAACCAAGTGCATGCAGAAAAAGCAGGCAAGTAGAGGGCAGAAGCTCCTGAAAACTGCGGGGAGTAAAAGGCCTTGGACTCGGGCTTCCAAGAATACCCCAGGGCTCCAGCAGGGCTCTCGTCACAGTCTCCACCAGAAATGTACAAAGCGCCTGGAGTGCTAAGAAAAAAGGTAAAGCGCTTTTGAACGGAGCGCCAAAAATGCATTGCACAGGAAATGACCTAACGCCGAGTGTTCGCGTTCGAAGGAACGCAGCTTACTCCCGCCTTTCGGACACTAACCTGGGAGCCACCGGGGCGCCCGCTGGGGCTTCCGTGGAAGTAACGCGCTGAGGCCACGGTGTGGGCCAAAGGAGACGGCTGCCCAGCCCCAGCTCCGACAGGGTACCCAGGCAGCCACAGCCGTCAAGCCCACAGCCGCCATCTTCCCAGCTGTCCCTGCGCCCGGCCGGCTTCTAGAGAGACGCAACACGCTTAGCTCCCAGGCTGCGCATGCCCAGCTCACTGGAAGGCGGAACTTGGTAAACCTTGCTGCTCAGCTTTTTCCGCTCAGAAGAGCGCGCATGCGTAGAGCATCCGTCGCGCATCCCGTTCTTTCTACTGCATTGTTGTTTCTTCTTTAGGGAAATTTGCCTCTAACAGTTTGGAAACCCTCTTATGGTCCGGAGGACCTTTGGGAGAGGAACCAAAAGGCTTGCTGCATCCTAAGTTCCCGTGACTTCCTGACAGTTTTAACCTCCACCGAAAACGCCTCCAAGATGCGACCTTAATCCTGATGTGTAAATCTCTGATGTCTAATCAGACATCTTCTGGTTCCCTTGCCCATTTTCAACTCATAGTATTTGTTCTAGTTTTTCATGTGTCTGCTGAATGATTGAATTATCTTGACCCCCGCTTCTTCCTATATGGAAGAATAACGTCAGCAGATTAAATCATCTAAATGGAAGAATAGGATTTAGAAGAGTAGATAATCTTTAGTAGAATATTTTATAATCCAGGAATAGAAGGGAATTTTAAAATATTTGAAAACCCCAAATTATACAGAAAAATACATTTGATTGTATATGAATTTTGACATTTTTAATGGCAAAAGATACATTAAGTCCAATGAGAACCTAGGAAAAAACTAGGCTTTACAGCATAGATACATTGATTCTACTCAGTTTACTCTTAGAAATAAGAAAAACAATTTCAATAAATTGACCAACAGCTATGAATAGGCAGTTTATGTAAATAAACATGATGTCTAATTGAAAAAAATGTGAATTTAAAAAATAACATATCATTTTTTCCACCCCATCAGAGTGGCAGAAATTTAAAAAGGGCAACTATTTGCAAAGATGATGGAAACTATCATTTATATATTGTTGCTGGGAGGGTGAAATGCTAAAATCTTGACAAGTAATCTGGCCACATTTAATACAATTTAAAATAAGCATTATTTTCAATGCCCTTTGGCCCAGTGCCCTCCCATTTGTGAGTACCTTATTGAAAACAAGAAACACTAGTCCATTATGATGCATGCTATCTACTACAGCACCATTTCTTGGAGGCAGACAAGGGAAAAAAATGAATGGACCATAGAAAAAAAGTTGGATAAATTATACAAGTGTTTCTGGACTAAAACTCTTGACATCCTTCAAAGTAATTCCTGAGGGCCACAGATATCAACCATTAAGGCCTTATCTAATATTTTTCTGCTTAAAAGTCACTTAGTTGGTGTAATGCTTTGAGGTGAAACCACTTAACTATTTTTAGTTATAAAATTTGGAGAAATGACTGGTACCAGAGCCAAAGGCAAATGTTGTATATAGTAAATCCAGCATGTCTTTGGGGTCTTAAGAACCTGTCCTGTTAGAATAGAACAAACTGGAAAAGTTGGATAAATAGAGACTGAATAGATCTCTTTCTTAAAAGGTATAATGTCGGGGTTGGAGCCATAGCTCAGTGGCAGAGTGCTTTCTTAGCATGTGTGAGGCACTGGGTTTAATCCTTAGCACCACATAAAAATAAACAAATAAAGGCATTCTGTCCTTTTACAACGAAAAAAACAGTTGTAATATCTCCCAAATAGGAAGGACATAGAGTAAGGACTTAACTTCATGACATACTACACAAGATGTTGAGCTCTTTTGCTAGTTTTCCATTAGGCTACAAAGGGACTGAATTACAAGGCAATACCCAAGGAATGTCACTTCACCATTCCGAGTATTTTAACAACAAAACACTTCTCTTTTTTGTTTTTGGATAATTGCAAATGTTTCCAATGATTCCTCTTCCTTCTTTCCCCTTTATTTTTTCAGGTCTTTTGGTATTTTATGTGCAGCAAACTAGTGGCAATATTCATACTCTGAAAAATGCTGCACAGAAAAAGCAAACCCATTAATCATTTTCTTTGTTCATCCTAACCTAGCAATTCAGGAACATTTGTGGCTTAAGACAAGTGTAAATACTTTTCCTGACAGTGATGGACTTGATATTGACCAACTTGTTTTTCATTCTGGCCATCTACTGTCAATGTTGCCTTCATTAACAACGGTGTGAAAGAACATATTGTTGAGGGCAGTTTGTCTTTCAGAAATCTGCTATCTTAATTTAGAGGGACAAATGAAGTACTCATCAAGTAAAGTTCCAAAGCTTTCCTTCACATTTGCATTTTTTTCTTGTTGGATAGAAAGATAAGTAAACAGAGTCCTGGAAATCCACAGTTATTACTGCCTTCATGTGAAAAGACAATAAGATGTCAGAGTTTTTAAGTTTCATCTCATTTTGTAAGCAATAGCAATGTGGCCAGAGATCCTTCCAATTATTAGTTTTCAAGCTAAAAATCATAATGTTAGCACACAACAATCTTTATGTGGATTCTACAATTGATTTTTGCTGATTAATCAATCTCCCATCATGTTGCAGATAGGTAACTTCTTAATCAGAAAGGAGTTTACTTTCAAATGTGAAATCAGGTCAACATTTTAATCCAAACTCAATACATTTAACACACAAATTTGAAAGGTTTAAATCATGCAAATTGATTAGAATACCCTTACAATCCTATGGAGATAATACAGTACAGAAAAGTTTTGTCTTCATATTAACCAACAAAATCTCAACAATTGCATTTCAATCTCTTAGATCATTAATCAGTTTAAAGGTGATCTCTGTAAAATCAGATTTTAAAAATATCTTCTACAATCATGATTTTTGTCCTTCATTGTTCAAGTAAAATCTTGTGTCATCCAGTTGCAAAATCTTATTATTGGCAACAGGTACATATGTATACAGACTACATTGCAAAATAAAAAAGAAAATTGTACCCAAACAGGCCTGACGGATTTTATAGACACTTTTAAGCTAGTCATTTCCCCTTTGTAAGTTATGTCATTGTTTTCTACTTCTATTTATTTGCCATGTTTGGGAAAGAGTATATTCATTCTTACAAACACACAAAACATGAAAAACTAGATTAAATGGCATCCGAAAAACCATTATAAAAGAGACTTGCCTGAAGTCATTTAATTCAACAAATTAATTTAACTCCAAAAAACAAAAGCTAAGTAAAAGAAATACATAATAAACTATTATAGAGAATGTTAAGTGAATTTTGCTTGCCTTTTTATAGAACTACACCATTTTTGTAAATAGGTATTTTAATTATTCTGTTCTTTGGCGAAAACAGAGCTATGAATTCAGAGTTAAGTCATGAGAGGCTGCAGTTAACAAGTATGCTCCATAACAATCCATAAAGAAAATATGCTACTGGTTGCCTTTACTCTCAGCATTGGGAATGGAGAAATCTTCAGCAAAATAAGTTCCTAACATCAAATGTTCTCTTTATTTAAAATTGTCCAATATGAGAGAATGTCTGTTGTCTACAGGGGCTTTTTTTTTTTTGAAACACACAGCTATTTTTTTCTTCTGTTATAATAAATGGTTTACTATATATGTTTCATAGCTTATACTGATGTTGACATTGCAATGTCAATTTCCATGGCACTTAATGGCATCAAAATATCATTTTAAAATATAGAGCAACACCAAGTGCAGTTCACTACTTGAAACTACTACTGTTAAATAGAAGTCATGCCAAGTCTTTGGTTTTGGTGCAGTACTTAAAAATTAAGGCAAAATTCTTAAAGGACATTCTCCTCCAAGCCCTTATTTGCTTGTATTTATAAAATGCAGTTTTTTAAAAAGTCAGTTGATTACCAATAATGTCAATGGCAATGATTTGGATGCTAAAATAATTCCATATTTCCAAGTACATATATACAGACATTTTGTAAACTGTTATTCATTTCACCAAAACCAACAATTGATAAAAATAGTTCATATGAAATGTTCATATGTGATATTTATCAAAATAGTGTTTCTCACAGGAACTTTAATTCTTTTGCTACGTATGATCAAACTTTGAATTAAGCTTCTTCTTTCTTTTTACAAAAGACTTCCCAATAAGAAAAGAGTTCTGAGCATGTACAGTTATAGGAGGGGTGTGTCAGGTCATTCCATCTGAGATTGCATATGGCTTCATTCTTGTATGGGATTATTGCAGTCTGCCCTGAAGTGGACGATTTCTTCTATTCACTACAACAAGAAGTGAGTGTATCCTTCTGCCCCGGTAACTATTACATCCATCCAGATCCTCATGGCTTCGGGTGATGGGGCCACCATATAATAGATTCTGTCATGCGTCTTGACACTAAAGGTGAGTAATGGATTAGGGCTCTAAATTCCAAAAATAAAAAGAATGTCAAACAAGCATCTTGAAGTTATAACAGTAAGTACAAAGACATGTGTGAAGGGTTCTTCCTCTTTAAATGTTCCTCCTTATAGAAATTTATATTTTTAATTAACTATAACTCCCTTGCCAACTCCCAATGCCTTTCTCAGGATTGACCATCTTTCTGGTCTTTCCGCACATGATATCTCACACAGAGCTAATTACTAGTGATTAGTTTATAAAGCTTGGTACCTAGCTGGTAAGAGGTACATAATAAGTGGTGGCTGGTATTCTTAGCTCTATTAAGATCTTATTAAACTACCATTCCCCTCATAATTTCTTTCCCTTTCAAAAAGAAATATCTTACTTATTTTAATGTTAATTTTCCAGCACCATTCTGATCATATCTATTTGTTATTCTGGTACAAGTAAATTGCTTAAAATCCAAAAATATCTTTTCCCAGATTAATTATGTATTTGAATTGTATGAATTTAGAAAACTGATGCTTACCTTATTAGCATTCTTAAGGTGATCATAATATACTTCTTCAATAGCTTGAAAGTATATTACTCCTTTTAATTTAGCTTCATGCTTATCTGCAAAGACAGATTGAGGATCACCACTGATGGGCAGGAAAAATGGTAAACTCATAATTATCACCACTAACATATTTACCTACCATTTGAATTATCTAAGATTTTTTAAGATAACCTGGGCTAGTGCATTGGCCTGTTATTTATGAAGGAATAATAATAATAATAACTATCACCACCAAAACCCATGAAATTCCCAGTTCCAAGCCAAAGAAGCTCAATGACTTGGTTCAAGGCTCTTCAGCAAATTAGCAGTCAAAACAACCAGAACTACTGACTATTAGGTGAGCACACAAAGTAGAAACATTATTGAAACCCATACAAAATTTTTCCCACATTCTCCAACATCTTCATAATGGAAATATTAACATGCAGATTGGTTATAGTGAAATTTTTGAGTGTTTTTATTTATAATTTAAATAATATTTTACTTATATCTTTATCAAACTTGTCCAACATGTTTCATTTTTTTCTTATTTTGAACAGTTTCTCATCAATAATTTATTATCCTTTCAATGCAACATTTTTAACTTGTTTCCAAAGATTTTTTTTAGATTTAATCATAAAAACAAAATACAAAACAACAAAAGGCTCCAATGAATAGCACCACTCTGTGATTTATTAAGTTCTTGAAATATTTTATAATTTGAACTCTACAAATATCACAATGCATGTGAGCCTATTAAAGAATTTTAAAAGCATGGGTCAGGAGGCAAGGAAAGAGACTGTCACACCCAGTTGGTGGAAATACAATTGAGACAGTCCCTTTTGGATGGCAATTGGTAGACAAACACAATTAAAAATGCAAAAATCCTCTTACTCACTAATTCTACCTTAAAACTTTATTGTATAACATCTACTTTGTTATGGCACACTGGCTACAGGACATCTGCTTGAGATTTAATAAGGTACTGATTTAATTATAGACCAGCCACACAATGGACTCTATACGGCCACTAAAACCACTGCAGCCTTTGTGTATACGGACAGGAAAGCACTCTTGACATACTTTTATGTGAAATAGGGCATGAACAAAGTGAATAATTTGTTACCAAAAGGCACAGAAGAAAAAAGAATATATACACATAACAAAGCATATAAAAACAAGGACAGGGGCCGGGGTTGTTGCTCAGTGGTAGAGTGCTTCTCTAGCAGGTATGAGGTACTGGGTACAATCTTCAGCACCACATCAAAAACAAATAAATCAGGCATTGTGTCCATATACAGCTAAAAATATGTTTTAAAAAAACAAAGACAGAAAATCTGAAAGAATATTTCAGACTTAACAGTGGCAGAAGGTCAGGACACCTCTGATGGAAAAGAGATTTTCTTTCATTATATAGATTTTATTTTATTTTGAATTTTTTTTTTACTAGATAAGTGCATCTTTTCCCCAATAATAATAAAAAAGAAACAACAAAAAAAAACTCATCTTAAAAAATAGTGACTCAGAGAAATTCCCCAGAAAATAAACTTAATATATTTAATTACATTTAACCCAGAACTATTTGATAATGGACTATATCTTTGTGTTTTGCTCTTCCTTGGGAAATACTGTTTTTATTAATACCCATGTTCAGTGGGTTTCAATCAGTTTGAATGAAAGCGAAGGTCAATGTGTCCTTCAAACATTTACCACGGAAAGGCTCCTGCAACAATCCATGGGAATACAGTGATACCTTATTTTCTCAAAACAGATACAAAATACAATCTGGAGATAAAAGTACATCTTGTCAGTGTTTCAAGCAGACAGAAAATTAAGGAATGAAACTTCTGTTTGTAGGGCACTTCCTCTGTGGGAAAGCCCTCTGCAGAACAGAAGCCTCTCAACCACATGGAGGGGCAAGAAGATCAATGGTGCTACTGTACACGGACCAGCAAATGCTGTTATTCTTTCTCTCTCAACAGCACTATTCCCTCAATTTTCAGACATTTTTTTCTGTGCTTCAGCTTTCTTTCTAGACTCTCTGTTTTAAGGTACAGGAGGCCAAGGACAAAGGCAGGATCATGAATAATAGAGAGAGCTAGGACTTCAGCCTTCAGCACTCACATTTGCAGCTTCTTCAGGCATGCAAGGTCATGCGGGGACAAGCTGAAGGGCACTGCTCCTGTGGGGTCAGGTCCGGCCTGAGCAGCCATCTGGGGGACTAGATAAGGACTGCTCTAAGCCTGTGCTTGTTGGTGTTTGGCAAGGGGACCTGGTAGAGGTATGAATGTGGTTGGGAGTGGACAAAGCTGATGGTGATGGCTATGAACAGAGCCTACTGGGAAGCATTTGTCCCACTAGGTCTCACTGGTCATTTACATCTTATGTAAGTATTAGAAAGCTGATGAAACGGAATTTTATCTGTTTGATGTATTAGCATTCTGAGTAGTCTTTCATATACCAGAAAGCTTTGGATATTTTTCAAAAAACTGAAAAACAATCACCAAAAGTTTTGATTTGGAAAGTTGCCTTTACATGGATCAGAAGGATACAAGTTTGAGAAGCTGGCCTGGGGACCGAGCCAGTCATCTGGCTGCTGATTGAAAAAATGAAATAAAGTTGACAAAGAAGAGGAGTATGGGAGATGGAAATGTCTTTGAAGTTCTTTTAAAGTTTTATTTTTGGAAAATTATGGGTGAGGTTGTCTAGCATGCTTCAAAATTTTGTTTGTGTATTTTTGCCAACAAGAGGTAGGATTTCTTATTAAATAGGCATCTTTACTACTGCACTAACTGAAGAGAGCTGCTCTGGATTTTTATAAAACCCAAGGTCAGAAAGCCCTGGGGAGGCAAAGCAGGCACCTCCCAGGGACAGGCCATGTTCTTCAACCACTGACTTCTGAAATAGCTGTATCCCACCCAAGGAAGTCCCTTACTGAAAGGCATGCACTCCTGCCCATTTCCATCCCAATTCTAGGGCTCTCTAAGCCAGTGTGTCCTTCACTGAATTGAAGGGTGGTGGGTTTTCACACTCCTCCTTACATACAGTAACCTGCACTCACTGGTTGGCTTAGATGGCTGAACTGTTGTTTTACATTTTTTCTTTTTTCTCCCCCCACCACCTTTTTTTTTTGGAGACAGGACCTTGCTAAGTTGCTGAGGCTGGCCTCAAACTTGTGATCCTCCTCCCTCAGCTTTCCAACCTGCTGGGATCATAGGTATGCACCTTGGCATCTGGAAGTTTTGCATTTATTACACTAACACAATTTACAACAACTCCTAGAGATGCTCATGACTGCTGATACTGTCACTCCAAAGCATAATATCTGGTAAGATATCTGTCCTCCTCAGCAGCTGGAAAGGGAGCACAGCTAGACTTTTGCTAATAATTGTACATACTTCACATATGATCTAAGAGTAAATAAGAGGCCAGTTATATTAATAAGTATATAAGTAGGCCAGTAATACTAATATTTTTGTATTTATATAAGATTCAGTAGGGTACATCTCTTATAATCCAGCAAGTGAGAGTCCAAAAATGCTTTATGGATTTACTTATTCACTAGTTCACAGAGGAGCTTTACTCTCTGTACTTAAAAGATCATATTAGTTTGTAAACATTAACTGAATGACTGTCAGCTAGGGCTGCTTAATTGTATGTGTTAAATAAGATATATGGCAATAAATAAATAAATAAGAAGAAACTTTTTTTCTGGCCTTGTGGTTCAAAGGCCAATATTTAATGTTAAAAGCATAAATTCCACTTAATATGTGTTTGGGTTGCAGTTTATTGCAGAACTGGAATGGACTGATTCACACTTTGTTAATAATATTTTTATTATTTGAGAAAAGGAAATTCATACCACATTGAACTATACAATCTAAATATAAAATACGGTACATCCTCCAAGCTAATGTTTCCATTACTCTTATTACTTACCAACCTGTTTATACTGACTCTCAATTGCCTTTCCTCTTTAACAGAATATAGAATATTTTCTATATTCTTTGAATATACCACTTCAAGTTTTTTTTTTATCACCCACCTGCATAATAAGAAAATGTTCTCTTATTTCGATCAAAAACAAACCAACGTTTTTTCCAAGTTTTAATTTTTCCACCCATTTTGATGAGGAATCCTCGACAGGTCTTCTCTGTGATGGATACGTGATAACAGGTGTCAATATTGTGGCCAGCAGTTTCTACGTGGCTCCGCAAATCAAAGTCTTCCTTCCGGACAGGTAGATAACGTGTCAAGGGACGAGCCTGAAAAAGAATGAAACTCATTCCAAATAAGCCTAAGTATTTTTTTTTTCATTAGGTTATAGATGTTTAGAAGCAGAAACTAAGTAAAAGTCTAAGCTTTAAAGTGCCCATATCATTATCATTATGAGAGCTTAGGATAAAATGCTTATCATTTGGAGACTGAGTAGTGGATATTATTTTGAGCACTATGGAAAGGGTAGGTAAACTCAGACCAATAAATCCTACTCCTTGAGGTGGGCTGATGGGAGAATGAAAAAATGTCATTTATTTTAGCTTAAAAGAGGTACTTAGCTCCTAACAAACACAGGGAAATGAAGCATAAAGCTATTTGGGTTGTTTCCTGCAAATGAAGATTCCTCCATGGGAAGATTTCCATTCTCCCTGCCACAACCTAAACAATAGTTCTCCTTAAGTAATTCCAGTCATGGCATGACTGGTTGAACACTATTTAATAAGTACAACCCCCAGAGATCTTCCTAAATTATAAATGTCAGCTTATCTACACTTGGAAAGAAATTGAAGGAAAAAATGTATGTTTTGAAAAGTGAAGCTAAAATAATGTTAGAAGTCAAATCAAAGCTGGACCTAACATAAGTTATTCAGAACCAGAGGTCAAAGGGAGGTATTAGATGTTTTTCATTTCACTAATAGTTAGTGCAAAGGCTTATCTACCAAGAAAGATAACCTAATATAACCATGGATAATATTTATGAAATGGTGTTCTATTTTATCCTGTTAAATAACTCTACCCCTTGGCCCTGGGGAGATGATGTAATCATATACTTGGAGGCAAAAATTTATAATCTGGATTAAAGTAGAATTGTGATTATTAGTTTGGCATTGGATACTAAATAGGCATGGATGACCTTCACTGCAAAACAGAATTTGGTAGGGAAAAGTGAAATAAACAAGTTTTACTTTGTATTTTTCTTCTGTATTTTGCCTTTGATTCTGTGGTTCTTGACTATGGTCGTGTGTCACAACTTACTGAGCCCTTGGAACACACAAAGCTTTAAAGACAGTCTTTAACTGCAGTACTATTAGATTGCAAGCAACTAGCAAGAATAAGGGAAACGATGTTTTTTGTCATTGAATTTTGTATTAACATTGTATTTGTTTTCAGAGGCTAATGCAGTGGCATTTTTCAAAGTGGTTCAAAAAAATATTCTCCTTTTAAGTGTACTCTGGAGAATGGGTGGAAGAAAATATCCTCTCCCATCAACATGTTCCATGGAAGTAAAATGTCATTTGATTGGTAGTTACCTAGAGGTTTTGAAATAAAATATTTTGTCCACTCACAGACACCTTTCATCTGATTTTGCTCTTCAGCCTTCAAGAGCGGTGAAGAAAGGGGCACCCAACACAGGATGGCTGTCTTCTACGGAATGACCACCAGGGGGCAACCCATGCTTATTCATTCAGATTTACCGACTAACCTGTGCCCTTTGTTTCTCCCTTATTTTCACTTCCTTCTCTATTAACTTCTGCCTCTGGCTAGTTTCTTCCTGCAATCGTTTTTCTAGGAGTTCTCGGCGTCGTTTTTCTTCTTCCAGAGCTCGTTTTTTGGCTTCCATTTCCCGTTCCTAAATATGATGCAGAACAATGATTATTTTAAGACATCCTGGTTATACTTGGATGGTTCCAACCAATACCTAAAACAAAATTCTATCAGATAATTTTTGGTTTGCATTTTATTCTCTTAAAATATATAACCCAGGTTAACACAACCCATACTCACTTCAGGCATAGTTTCCAAACTCATACACAGAAATGCAATCATTAAATTTAATTAACACATCTTGATCTTAGGTGAAAATCCAGCTTGTGACTATATGCAGTTATTGTGTATCCATGACATAGCTCTACCATCTTTAATAAAAAGTCTCACAAAATGTCCCCCAACTCTAGTCGTGGGGTTTAGCCTTTCTTTGGAGGGCTGTATTCTAATTGAAGGTCCTGGGTTTTTCAATTCCTGTTGTTACTCCATAGCTTCCTGGCTGAAGGTCACAAAGGAAGCACATAGGGAAGTTAAAAAGGAAAGGAGGTGCCCTCTGGGCAGGATGCAGAGGCATTTAGGGGGATTCCTAAGGAAGTTTGGGTTCTGACTTGAAATATTATCATAATGCCTTGGGATTTTTAATATTACAGCCATGTAGTTAGCACAAGCTGGGAAGGAAGGAAGAATGCATAAAGACAGACATTCTTCTCTGTTCCTTGGCAAAGTCATCAAGTGTCCATCAAAGGAAAACACACTACGAAGCTCCATTTCAGTTTATATCAGCACTATATGTACTTCAAGTTATGGGAATTGCAGTACATTAAGAGTCTTAGAAACCAACCCTCTAACACTTTTACATTTCAGATAAGAAAGGAGACTGAGAAGACTGAGTGACTTTTCAAACATCACGGCCTTTATTAAGGCTCTTCAAGGAGGAGTACTTCCTGATATGGAATACAGGGTTCCCTGCACCAATTACCACATCACTGACCTCTGGCACTTAGGTATTATACTTACCCTGGATTCAAGCAGCCGTGTCTTTTCGGCATGAGCCTGTTTCAACAGCCTCTCCATTTCTTCTATTCTAGCAATATTTGAAGTACTGGCACTGAAACAAACACAGAAGCCTTTTAAGAATATTGGTTCTGACTGACATGTCTCTCTGTCAGACAACATTCATACACACACACACACACACACACACACACACACACACACAGAGTCAAGGGATGTGCATGACAAAACCCGATCATACACAACTTAAAGGATGTTCCTTATGAGTCATTTTTCTGAAGAGGCAAATCAATTCAACTTTGAAAATTGTAGGTGACACCAACTTATCTCAGTTTAGGGGATAAAACTAGGCAAGCAAAATAATTCCAATGTAAACTGCTTTGCTCATAAATAAATAAACCAAAGCCAAATCTTGCCAGGTGTGACTTCAAAACATATCCTTCAAAGTCTAAAACTGATAGCCTGTGGCAGGCCTTCCCACTGGTTTAATGTTCAGATGTCCACCTAATAAGACTGTCACCAAAGTTCTACACAAATGACACCAAACGCTTGAAGTCACTTTATTCAGTTGCAGTATATGTGTCCCCAGCTGCTGTTTGTTGTGTCTTTCTACTACTGGACATTTCACTTCTTAAATGATGATGCAAATTAAAATATGACATCCATAGATGCAGCAGCTGGGTGGCAGCCAGTTTCACGAACACTAACCTACCCAGAGTGTGAATGAAGGAACCCACAAAGGGATTCAGGAGCTTCGAAAGAAATACATCTTGGAAGAGACGTCACATGAACAAGGAAAGGAAAACATTACAGAGGGAATGACACACGAACAGCTCAGGGAACTCAAAGAGAAGGAAAGAATGTTTAACACAAGACACAACATTTTATTTTCACTTATTTACATTTTTCTTAATTTTTCTGAGAAGGATGAACATGGTCTGGGTCACAGCCTCTTTACCCTGGTTCTGTACCCTGGGGAGCCATTGCTGTTCTTGTGCCTATGCAACTTGAAGTCATTAAGGGCCTGTCATCTTCCTTGTCTCTCTTGGGCACAGACAGGCTTTCATGTTTGTGTCTTCATAGCACAGCGCCTGGTATGAGCCAGGATCAATGATTGCCAGGATCAATCATTCCACAGTAGCATTACAGAAAGAGTTAAGGGACAGTGCACATTCATGCAATAATGAATTTATAACAATGCATGTTAAAAATGAATAAGCTGAGCCCTCTTGGTCAAAGATGATTGTTAGTATAATATCCCTAAGTTATATTTTTGATCAAACCAAACTTAGGATGACTCAAATCCAGGGCTAAGAGTTCTTTTGAAGAGATAAATGACCACAGTATCACAGGGCAATGGCTTCTCTTAAAGTCAATATCATCAGCTCCATTAAAAAACACACTCTTGTAAGAGAGAGAGCAACTGGATCCTTTCAAGCTTAACAACAAGGCTGGCTTCTTAGAGTGACTTTGGCCCAATTGTTTAAGCAGGTGTTTTCTCCTGAGAAAGAGAATCCAGTAATTTCTTCTTTTTGTCATTAGCTTTTGGGAGAGGTACAAAAGAGTAAGTTTTGTTCTTTTCAGCTAGTAAGAATTTAAGGAAAAAAAAATGTTTAATGCTTGTGCAGGAATTCTTATTTTTTCCTTCTTTGACAATATCTGATTCATAGACGAAAAAGGGACAAATTTCATTGGCCCAACTGAGAAAGCTGAAGGTATATAGTGGTAGGCCATATAATGGCACAAAATTATACTTATATTCTATAGAACTAATTGGGACATCAGATATGTATGTTTTGTGTCTCCAATTAATTTGGAAATTATTTGAGTTTTATTAACTCTCAGTTTTAAAAACTCACCAATTTAAAAAAACTTCACCAATAGACTACCCTTATTTGTTCCAGTTTTATACAATCTATACTATTTATATTTCATTGTCTACCATTTTGTTTTCTTGTTTCATTTCTCTCAACTTTATTGTATTTATATATTTATATCTTATTTATTGTATATATACATAGTATATATATACTCATAAATAATTGACAATGGTATAGATTTGTGGTATAGAACATATTTCGATATATGTATACATTGTGAAATGATTATCATGACCAACAACATACTCATCACTTCACGTAGTTTCCGTGTGTGTGTGTGTGTGTGTGTGTGTGTGTGTGTGTGTGTGAAGATGCACTGTCCCTTAATTCTTTCTATGATGCTACTGTGGAATGATTGATCCTGGAAAATACTTGTGCCTGGCCATGATAATTGTCCACATTTGCTTCACACAGTACTGACCCAGTTGTACTATCACAGGTAGCCAGTCTTCATGGTCAGAAATTACTAGTACTGTTTATAATGTTCCAAATGTCCAAAAATTGAGGACAAAGTAAAAGATTCCTATGAAAGATTAAAAGTAAAAGGAAGAGAGAGGAGAATTAGTATTTCTCGTTTGTGTCATCATCTGCCTTAAAAATATTCATGTTACAGTAAAATTAGCTTTTATCCTTTAGTATGATAGAAAATAATATGATAAGTACCAAGAAAGTAATAGGAATTAATATTTGGAATGAGTGTCATGACAAAACAATCTCAGTAGGGAAGTTCTTGAAGACTGACATGTAGAATAATAAAAGACAAAAAAAAATGCTGTGTTGAAGATTTTTTTTTTAAATTATGCATTAAAATATCCCCAAATTATAAGTCTATTAAAGAGGTAATTCCATGCTGAAATTCTAGTAACATAAACTTGGTCTTGTGGTTTATTATGTCACAAAAAGCTTTTCATAGAGTTATAGAATTACTCAGTTGTGGATAATTTACCTCCACTTTTTGTTGAGACATCATTTTTGTGACTACCAGAATGTTCCATGAGCTGAACATTGTTTTTGCTTTTTCAGCACCACTACTTACATTGTCAACAAACACAAGGCTCAGAAAATAGGTCTTGGGTCTTAGAAAGCCAGAAATTGATAGTCAATTCTGCACAAAATCCTTATTTTGTTAATATTATTGAACTATCTTCTAGAACAATCTTCTGAAAGTCACCTGCAATGATACCTGTTATTGCTGTTGCCTTGGTTATCTTGCTAAAGCCCTGACTCTGTGCTTGTACTTTCAGAAAATGCTAACAACCAGTATGGACAAAGGCTCAGAGATCTGAGAGTTTCTTCCCTCTCAGCCAATAGTCGTTCTGTGATGGGTGTCAGGAGAGAATGGAGGGAAGGCAGGGCTGGATTCAAGATGCCAGGACCTGCATCTGACTTTACTCAGGAGGTAGCTGGGCATTGCTAAAGCTTCAGAAGAGGAGAAACCCTGTGACCAGCTTATATTTATGTGTGCCTTTGGTTCCAATTTTATAATACTACTTTTGCTTTCCTCCAAAGTATGAACACAAATGTGAATAGTTAAATTCTCACCAAATTTTAGTGTCCAGAACAGCGCGAGGCTTTCCTTCTAACAAAACTTAAGGATAAAACAATAGAGCTCTGACTCTATTGTTGGAATTTATTTCTTTATTTGTTCAAAAGCTGTGAAAATGAACTTGGAGTCCATCAACAGAGGGAACTTGATTTTGAAGCATAGTATAAAGGTGAACTCAAACGTAAATAAAGTAGGAAAATGGACTACATAATGTCTGACTGGCTAAGTCACACAAGGTTCAAAGGTCACCCTGACCCCCAACTCTCTTCTGCATTTGATTTTGTACATATACAATGTCCCAAACTGATGATTTTAGGCTTGAAAACAGAAGGTGCTTTTCCAAACCAAAACTCTTACCCATAAAGAAATCTTACCTAGAGATATTGTCGGGTGAGCAGGCAGAGATGCTGGTCTCCATGCTGTCAGAGCTGTCCAGGCTCAAAGTGTCAAAGGCCTGGTCCTTGTAGCTGTGGTCTGGATAATGGAAACTATTCAAGTACACATTTGACTCAGATGCTGTGCGGTTGTAAAATTCGGATTTCTGTCTTTGTCCTTCACTCATCTGCTGGTGATTATAACCTAAGGGAAAATCCATGAATATGTAAATAGGCCTCATTTATCAGTCTTAGAATCTCATAAATCTACAGGCTCAAGACAGCAATCAAAAACATCTGCGTACAAAGTTTGAGCCCTGTTCGAATTTGTTTTGAAGCCAAGAAGATCAAAGAAACAACATCATGCTCAGTGCAAGCAAGAATTTCAAAGAAGTGGTCTTGTGAGTGACTTTGTCAGTGGGGATCACTTGGCACTTTCCTATCTCATTCCTACGATTCAGTGCAACTGAGAATAACATATCAGTACACACACAACTACAAAGAAACGGAAAACCAGAAATGCAATTAAAGACCTTGAATCCTCTAGAAATAGTTGTTTAAGTGAAGGCAAAGTGATGCCAAGTGACAAGCAACACCAGGGTTATGGGGCACTTGCTTCTTCAATGGCATTCAAATTTCAGGGCACTCAGGTTATAAAACAGTAAGTGGATTGTTCAGGTGTAGGCTTTGAGAAACTCACATTTCATGCCAGGTCTAATGTTTTTAATCTGGTTAAGATCCAAACTATGTACTTTTCTCATTCATATTTTCTCTCTGTATCTGCCTCTTGACTGCCAACTCATTTAAATGGTTGGACTCCTCCTAAATACTATATTTCGAACATTCTTCTTTTCTAAGCTTAACAATCAGCCTTTAACTAGCTAGTGATAACCACTTGAAAAATGAAGGCATAAATAGGATCAAAAACACCATAAATAGAAGGCATTTTCTTTACCCTGATACTCAATATTAGGTTATTGGTTTTATCTTGTGTTATTGCTTTGGCTTTCTCACCAGTAGGTAATTTCAGGTATTATAAATCAAACCGTCATCTTTTCAATGTTCTAGAATACATTCAGTAAGTAGGGATCGTGATGATGAACACATCTCTAAATTCATCAAAAGGTTTTTCTCTACAGTTTTAAATCTCTCTCTTCTTGGTTAAAGAAATGACTATGTGAATATCTCCCCTTGTTCAAGGAGTTAATGCCAATTAAGAGTTTACAATTGGACTATTGAAATTTGACTCTTGTGCTCTATTTACCTTTCAGTGAGACTTTAATTAGTGATATATGGTGAAAAGTAGGCAAAATGACAAAAAAAAAAAAAAAAAGAGGAGGGGGGATAATTCCAACAGTTTCCTTGGCAGTTGATTAAACATTTCCATTTAGAAACAGAAGCCACATCCATGATGTTTTAACAAAGCATTATCCATCCAAAGTTTCTGTAAAGTCATTTTAGTTTCATGCAGAGTTTTCATGCCATTAGTATTTGGAGCAGCTTTAGATGTCTAGGTAAAAATGTTATTTCAAATTAATTCATTTCTTGGAAAATGTTCTCGTCATTTAATCTGCCATCATAATCATGGCAGATTATGCGTAGGTATATTCTAAAGCCACATATCACTTAGCCAAGGGAAGTTGCAAAATATAAAAGCACACCATGAGAGCAGATACAATATCATTAATAAAACTGGTTAATGCATAAAGGATAAAATGAAGCCAGTGAATTCCTAAGCGTGGAGCTCGTGCTTTTTGTTGTAAAGAAAGACAAATAATTCATTATTCATATATTTACCTTTTACACTTGAACTTTTGGAATTACTAATTGCGCCTTTTAAATTGTTTCCAAATATTCATTATAACAAGGAGGACAAAAAAAAAACAATAACAAAAATTATTAAAAAGGTTACACATGTGTGTTTCCTTATGATTTCAAAAGAGTCTGTGGCATTGAAAATTCACATCAGCACCAACTACATGGAAGACATTTCCTTGTTTTAATATGAAAAACATATCCCTAAAAGTCGGCCATGAAATTTAAAACATGCCAGAATTATTTCCCTGGCAATGACTGTGCCAAGACCTCTCATTGTCCTTCAGTTTCCTGTAAAGAGGAAAAGCCAGGGGGAGTCACCTTGTGGCAAAGCAGAAAGAGGGTCTGTTTCTTCTTAAAGCAGCTATATGTCCCTCCCTTAGCTTTTCCAGGGTTGTGGTTTTCATTGTAGTTTTTTTTTCATAAGTATCACAGAATAAGAAAGCAAAGTTATAATTTTCAGGTGAGAGAGTAACCAGTAAACTACAAGGACTTGAATCTTTCAGACGGTTCATGAGGGGCAGTTATGACCTAGTGCACAGTGTTCTATAGACTGTGAATCCCCAGACCAACTTGATATTCACCGAGGTTTAACTCTGTTTGAAAGAATCTTCTAGAGATTCAGGTGGCAGGATAAGCCACTTCTATTTTCATTTCAGCTTAAATGGAAAAGCCTAATGAGTCTATGTTTTCCCAGAACAGGATTTTCATTTGCCATACGTCCAACGTGAGCAGGGATGTCCCCCTTACAGAGCTACACATTTCTGCCAACTGGCAGCACTTCAGTGGTAACAGTGAACCCAACTGTCACTTGGCTTGACCTCTTCTTTATTGAACAAGTTTCTAAAAAAGTTTTACCTACCATTATAAATAAGGGCCAGGACCTCTCTTCTGGGATCCTGGAATTGTACTTGTATGATCATGAAGAGCTGGTCTGGAAATTCAGGCTCTGGCCCAGCCTTGCAAAAGCATTGGTCCTTTCCAGAAAGGAAACCTCATAGAAAAGCTTGGGGCTGAAGGAAGGTAATTGGTAGGAGCCCAGGAGGCACCACTAGTGCGGAAAGGAGCTCTGGGATAGCCATAAACTGGACTAAGCATCCACCAAGTTAGCTCTGTCAGGGAGGACAGGAATGTCCTGCTAACCACAGGATCCCCATTTATTTAATACATGACTGTTATAAAAAAAAGTCATTGAATGGTGTTTTTATTCAGCTGTAAATTCCTTATATTAATGGCCAGATATGGAAGTGGAATGCATCTACTTTTGGGGGCAGGACAACAGAACTAGACTGGGAAAAAATGAGACTTGTCATTTTTCCAACCCATGTCTACTTGGATTTTGTTTTTATTTTTTGATTATATAAGCAAGAATAACATTCAGCAACAACTAAGAAGGAAAAGGGGCCTTGAAAATTCCCTAAATTCTTGCCATCTATACAAATATAGTGCTTACAGGGGGTTTATAAAGTGAGAACTGGTAATATCTGAGGCTTGTCTCATAGCATACACTAGGAAACAAAACAACTCTGCTCTCTTCCTTGCCCAAGAAAGCCAACAAATTGGATGTGTTAGGTCCATTCATTATCATTATCATTATTGCTAATGCCAGTCTGTATGAATTCTGGATAAGTGGACCCAAAGGGCCTTTTGGAGTTAGCCATGTGAGAGATAGAGTCTTGCCAATATATTCCAAATGTGTGCTACAAACTTTTACATGGTTACCTAGGTCTTCACTTGAAAAATGAGGTGATCTAAAATTGTAACCTGGGCTTAGAAGGATAGAATGAGCCAGATTTCCAACACTTCAGCCTCTCATAGCTCACCTGCTAAGGAATTGATTCTTCCTAATGACAATCCACAGCCAGAAGAAGATACAGGACAAGTCAGGAATGGATGAGGAGAAGGATGGAGAAAGGGAAAAAGATATAAGATCAAAAGGATGACAAGGCAACAGGAAAAATATCCAACACTTCCCACATGCAGTCTCTGATGGTGTTAGTAACAATACCTGAGCAACACAGGATGATGTTCACATTTCTAGATTAAATCTAAGTTTACAGAGAAACTCAAGAAGTTAAAAAAAATTTTAAGATACATGCATAGTTAGTCAAAAAGCAATTGTGTAGGGAAAAAACATTTTACCCTTACACATCAACCAGAAAATAGGAAGAGCAAGAATAAGTTATATTTGCAAAACAACTCTTTTTCCCCCCAAGCAGACAATAGCAAGTAGTTTTTAAGAGATAGGTTTGAAAAATGTCATTCAACAATCTGAAGCAGTCCATCAAGCTTTAATGACAAGTCTTCTAACATCTTACATCTTCCTAATTCCCCTCTGTAATAGCCAGCTTGCTTATTTAAGCCAGTCATGTAAGCTACCCCAGTCTCTACCAAGTCTTCTTTAAAACAGGCTTAAGTGGAATGAATAAGTAGGAGCTTCTTAAATCCTTCTGTCCCACCCCTCACAGCCTGCCTGATTTATTTATACCTGGCTTTTTATAAAGGAGATACAGCATATTTTAAGCTTAGCTTATATACATCACAATGCTCACTCTTCTCTTTATATAGATCCGGAGCCTTACAAATCAGTGGTCCCACAGCGCCCATATTTCCTGCATGGTCTGACCTTATGATAAAAGGCCAAGACCAACAGGGTCATGCAGCTGCCTGTGAATGAACAGCAGCTGCCCCCAGCATTATGTTTTTGTGCAAATATGCAACATTTTTTCTCTATTGTGTCAAAGGAATAATCATTAGCCTAAAAATCCACCATTGTAGAATTTAAAATCCACTCATTTCTTAACGATGACTTGACAATGACCTTTCTATATTTGCTGGAAACAAAAACAGCACACAAGGAAGTTGTCATACCTTTCTTGGACTTTCCTGTATTTAATAAAAACAAAAGGACAAAGATTTCATTCATTCTAAAGCTTACAAAGGAACAATTGATAAGTTGTGCCAAAACCAAAGACCATTACAACCTCAGGAGTTGGGTTCCTCAGCTCTCAGCCTTTAACTTTGTTTTCAAGATCTTTGTGGGAGTCCCACTGTCAGCGCCTTGAAAATGATACTGATGTGGGAAGGCTTATACTTACACCATCGTCCTTGATGCATCCATTATGAATAGCAGCAAAAAAATGGTGCACTTAAGTTAATTGTGTAGGTAAAAAGCAAATGATAAAGTCTACTAAATTTCAGTTAATCAAAAGGTGCTAGGTACAGTTGTTTACCAAAACCCTAGAGTTTGAATTGCATTTGCTATTTTAACAAAACCAATAGATGCTAGTGAAACAATCCTAAATGAATACAGGATTCATTCCTCCTGATCTCTGTGAGCCACCATGGCTGTGACTGTGAGAACTACCATCTCTGACCCACTTCTCTAGGTCGGGGAACCTGACCCTGGACTCACAGGACATATCTCCTGGATCGACACAGGTACGATGGTATTCTATTTCCTCAGAAGCTGCCCTATCCTTGCACACACTCTCTCAGCAGAACCCCATTTCAGAGCTGCAGCAAAGACTGATGCTGCTGTCTTCTCAGGTGCACAGAAGACATATCAGTGAAAGAGAAGCTCACAAAAGATAAATCAAACACAGAAGATTTTGCAGGTCGCACATCCATCATATGACATAAGAAAATTGGCTCAGTTTTCCTTTATGAAACTATCATGAGGAGTCCCATTTGTTGAGGGAGAACAGAGATTAGAAAACAAAGTTGAAGCATTCCTTCAGTTTCAAAGTATTTTCACAAGAATCTGCAGACATGATAATGTTAATAGCTTTTCACAGAATTAAATCATTTGTGATCCCACCCTCCATCCTTAGTGCTCAATCTTTCCTTAAATCACTCTAATACAAAAAGCACATGAACATGTGAATGTTTTTAGTTGGTGTCATGGCCAAACCAAGCTTTGACATTTTCAGCCAGTGGAAAAAATACATTTAAAAAGAAGTTTATTAATAGTACAGAAAAATACTTCAACAGAAAATAGACTTTGACCCACAGGTTAACAATGATACATGAGAGCTGAAATAGAAAGACTCATTTATGTTTATTATTTATGAATGTTAAGAGATATTTTAGCTTATGAAGAATTATATAAAAACTAGAGAAGGTCAATCAAGGGTATTTTATTTAAATATCACCAGTGTAAACATCTCTGATACATATCAACCTTTCCTGAATCTATGGCCTCTTAAATCACTTCTAGTGTGAAGCACTAGTAATAAATAATTTGAAAGCCTTGTTCAAATATATATGTCATATAAACACATACATACATAATCACATGTATTTATAAACTTATTTACATATATGATTATGTGATATATATATATATATATATCACATAATACATATATAATATATACTTTTTCTCTACTGGTGGGAAATCAGTGATTATCCCTCAGCACCACAAGCAGAGTGGCCAAGCGGTCAAAATTGAATTTCAGGGGCTGGGGTTGTGGCTCAGTGGTAGAGTGCTTGCCTAGCATGTAGGAGGCACTCAGCACCATAAATAAATACACAAATAAATAAATAGGTCCATTGAAAATTAAAAAAAAAAAGAATTAAATTTCAGCCTGTTCAGAGGGAGTGGTTTCAATCCTATCAATGCCTGAATGTGTGTGGAGCCAATGCCTGCCGTCCCGTCAGCTTTCCCATGTACATCCTGGTCATACTGTCAGGATGTACTGCATTGACTGCATATTGCTGAAGTCATCTGTTTTGTGCCTTTTCCCTCACTAGACTATGCATTTTAAGGCAAGGATGGTCAATTTATTTGCATTCTTGGTACCTAGAATTCTTCTGCTCAAATGTTAAGACCATTATAAATCTATCTCAAGGAGAAGCTCACTTCTGGAACTATGTTAGAGTAATTTCTTCCAGCCTCATGAAGACTATTTTAGACTCTCATAAACACACAATAATATTACAAAGAAAATATGGGAAGAATCAAAGTCCATCTAAAACAGCGTGACTACATGGTATAAGAGCTTGAGCCTACATTAAAGGCCCAGTGAAATTCTGCTGTGGACCACCAGTGCTCTATGTTATGTGTCAACTCAGTGACTTCAGCTCAAGGCTCATTCAACATAGTGGCTCAGCCACAAACCAGGAGAGTGGTCTTGGTTAAGCACCCTGATCATCTCCCTGGATCTCTGCGGTTTCTCTTTTCTTTCTACCCATCAAATGAGAAGGTTAGTAATTCTCTAGGGGTCTTCCTGGTTGGAGAGTTCTATTGAATTTATAAAGTACAATGAATATGTTTAAAATGGATCAGCTTTATGCATAAATAGGAAGAATCATCTTGATGCAATGAGAATATACATATATCCCTCCTCCAAAGTGAAACATTGAAGAGTAATGTAATTCCTCCCTGAGGAATTCTAATTCTAACGTGGTATTTGATTTAAAAGACACTTACCTCTGAGCATCCTCCGAGATTCTGAGTCTTTGGTCATGGTTGCCAGCGAGTGAGGGAGCACACTGCCACAGCTGTTGCTCTGTCCCAGAGGCAGGTGAGCCTGTGGGAACCAGGAGGGTACACTTCAACCAAAATGCACACCAAATGGTTCTTCAGGAAAAGGCCACATCCCTGTTTCCATAGCTCCTGTCTAAATGTGGAGGGCAGAGAGGGTAGGCTCTTGTGTCCTGTTTATTGATGCTAACTGGTACAGGTCAGCTGCTGTCCCTCCCAAGAAGCTCCATGGCAGTCTCAATATCATAGCACTTCCTCTGATGGCAGCAATTCCACAAGTGAAGACAGTGGGGAGAAGACACTGTCTGCAAGTTCTTCATGCATAAAGAGCAGAGGGCAGATGCAGGGGCAGGGATGCATGCACATCATGCACAAGGACAGCGAAGATTTACATTTGTTCTAAATGTACCAATTTCCATCTGCCTCTACTATATGTAGGTTGAAAACTAGAGAAACCTACTGATACTTCACTGGTTTTAGCATTCTCTTTAAAGAGCAAATTCCTTTATGTAAATAACATACATCTGAGATACCAATTTATAAAATAAATCAAAACACAGATAGTCTGCTTAAGGGAAGGAGAAGGGTCCGAAGTCTTTTCCACTAAGGATTCTCTTCTCATTTGTCACTTCTTCTGTTTCTTCAATGACCCCTTGGACACATCAGCAGTATGAGAGGGAGGGTGCAGGTGTCAGAACAAACAGGTTCACATTCTGGCTCCACTAGGTAAGTCACTTAGCTTCATTACACTTCAAGTTATCCATGTATACAACTGGGATAATAATTAATAAGAACTCCTATTTTATAGTATATTGCTGGGTTTTAAAATGAGACAGTTGACAAAAATAAGTTAATCCCAGGGTCAGGAACTTAGGAATAACCCAATAAATATTTAATGCTATTATTTCTGAAACCCAGAGCCTCTCATTACTAAATCTGGGATGCAGATTTGAGTGTCCATCATGGGAGTAGAAGTCAGCCACACCACCTGTACTGTGGTGACAGAGAAGATCCTGGACCATGTTCTTTAATCCCAGAAAGTACAATTTCAAATATCTTCTGAACAGAATAGAAAAGCTGGTTTAGTGGTGATGTCTGCCGAACAAGCACATTTAATGGTTTATTATTTAGCACTGTTCTTAAAGGCCTTTGAACATCAGTGAATACAAGGAGAAGACTCACGGATTGTGAAGCCCGTGGCTCTTCCGTGTCCTACCTTTGGGGTGGAGCTTCTCCCCATTGTAGCACTGCTGAAATGTGGGGAGATGGAAGGTGTGGTTTTCTTTCGAGGCAAAGTGTCACTCAGATAGAGGCCTTCTTTATGCTGTTTTTTCCTTTCTTCCAGACTTCTAAAGTGCTTTAAATGCAAATGTAAAGCAAAATAGCAAAACTTGACTAACTGAAACAGATCACTAAAAAAATGAAGAATTATGCATTTAAAAAGAAGTTTGGGAATTTAACACAGTTTTTTTTTTTTTTTAAATTATTGAACTTATCCTTGTGTTCATTACCAGATTTGGGATAGCTTATGATAAGATAATAAACACTGGAAGAATTTGTAGCTGAACCTAGAATACATTTTACAAATCCACCTTTTACTTCTATAGTGCTTGCTACTTTGAGGCCTCAGGACAAGTTATGAATTATTATGACGGCCACCACTTGAATGGCAGGGACAGCCAGTGGCCAGAGCAAGTAAGCAGTTTCTTCCCTGATCTGTTCAGATGGGTCTATGTGATGGACAGATCCTAAAGTGAGGGGGACAAGACAGGGGAAGAGGAGGAGGATGAAGAGAAAGAATGAACAATTGGAAGGTGTCTGAAAGTGGTAATAATTTCAGTCACATAAACACACTCCAAATCCATATAAAGATCCATGTAAGGTTTCTTCTACGTTATTCTTATATTTTAAAAGATCTTGACCAAAGAGATCTTACAGTAATCCCGGATAATTAAAAATCCTACAGTAACTCCTTTCTTTCCCCCTACCCTTCTTTCTTTTCCCCTAGATTTCTAAGGCAAGACTGTGTCAATTTGAAATTTATCCAAATTTTTCTTGGCCTCCTCCCCCAGATGTCTTCAATAGTAATGTGATTTCTTAATTAAAGTTTCTTTAGGTTTGATCATTTTAATACTGTGTTCAAGCTTTTGAAATATATAAAAATGAATGAATGCCAATTATGACAAATTTTAACTTTAAAATTATCTATTTATAGTTGCTAAAATCTACTAAGAGTGTACTGTGTGCCAGGTTAACTGCTCTACATGCCTTATCTCATTCAACTCATAACATTCCTGTGAGGCAGGTTCTGCATACTTGTTTTACAAATGAAGAATTTGGGAGGCAGAAAGGTTCAGTAAACTTGCCCAAGGTCACATAGCTGAAAAGTGGCAGAGCTAGAATTCATGGCCAGGTAGTTCACATTTTAATAATAAAACTTCATGGTTTGGTTAATGCATGCTCTACATTTTTGTTAGATGACATCAAAACACTTCAGTCTTTTTTTCTGCTATGACCAAATGTCACAAATGCCAAAATTCAAAACTTCTCAATATCTCATAATGGTACCTTAATAAAATAATAAATAGGTAACAAAAGCCCTTGAAAACATAATCTAACTGATATTTGGCAGAAAACAACAGGTTTGAAAACTGTGATTGTTTTGCTACCAGAGACGTCTTTTAACCTGAATGGAACTATTAATGCAATAAACATAACATCAAAATTGGAGGCATTTAGTTCTTCATTCTTCCTTCTACATATCACCTGTTTTGATCCACTCTTTTCATCAACTCTTTTTTATTATTTTTATTGGTGCATTATAATTATATATAATAATGGGATTCATTATGCCATATTCGTACATGCACATAACATAATTTGATCAATCTCTTTCCTGGTACCCTCCCTTTCCTTCTCTCCTCCCTCTCCCAGATCTGCTTGCTCTGTTCTACTGACTTCCTTTCTATTATTGGTGAAATGATTTCTCTCATATTAAAGAAAGAGAGACTGGGAGGGAGGGAGGGAGAAAAGGAAGGAGGGAGGGGGAGAGAGAGAGAGGGAAGAGAAAAGAAAATTTATTTAAAAAAGGAAGGGGGACCTCATTAAAATACAAGGGAGACAAGAGAGTAGAGGAAGGGGGTCTAGAGGGAGGGAGAAGGGAGAGCATGAGAAAGTCTTGGGAAACAAATCTACCAAATTATGCTGTGCTCACATATCAACACACTGCAATGAATCCCATGTCTACATATAATTATAATGCATCAGTTCTTTTTTATATCAATTTAGGAGACAGTACCCTGAAGGAAGTGAGGCAATACAGGATACAATCTTTAACAAATGCTGATAGTAAAGGAATGTAAGGAAATGTAAGGACTTGGCATAGCAAACCAGGGCTCCTATACTTTGAGGAACTAATGATTAAATAGTTGAGATGGAGTCTTGAAACAGATTTTTTTTTAAAAATAACTAAGAATTAATTTACATGTACACATACTAAAATTAATGCAATATAATAATAAATTGTTTATTTAAAAATATGCTCAATAAAAACTGGTTTTCTATGGACCAAATGCTCTTCTGAAATGTGACCTTGGACAAGATGCTTAGCTATTTAAGCCTCAATTCCCTAAATTCAAGACAGATCTAAATCTTATTTCAATGCATTGTTAGAAGTCTCAAGAGATATTTATAAAGTGCTTAGCAAATTTTGTTATATAGCAAGGGAATGAATTCTATATGGTTTCAATAATACATACTAAAAACATTTGGTGTTGGCAACACAACTATTATATGATGGATTTTATGGAAATACCTATTAGCATCTTGAGAAAGACCTAGAAAAGTTGTAATATTTTGCAATGGGAAGTGAAACATAAAGATGTAAAATTTGCCAGTTGTGGATGAATAAGATCTCAAAGCTTTATAATAATCCCAACACCCTTAGAACACAGAACAAAAATCTAAGATAAAAGCAGAGAAGTATGAATCCTCTTTTGGAAAAGTTGAAGAAAGATTCCACATAAGTAACTTTGTCATCAAGGTAAAATTCCCACACCCTAAATACTACTCCCTAATTACCTGTGGTTCCTGCTGCTGTTGCCTTCTGTGTTTCTTAGCTGGTAGAGGAGGAGGTGTGTCATTTAAAGGGAAAGGATCAACAGGTGGAGCCATGACTTCGGGCCAAGGGTTTGATGAAGGTTGAATGACAGGATGAGGAGAAAGAGTGGAAGGAAACATAAATCCAGAACAGACAGGTGGTCTTTGCTTTATAGGAGAAAGAAAATTTATACATGTGTCCACATGAAATGAAAGGAAAAAGACAAAGAAATGAAATTGACAATCTGTTCTATTTTGTTATAGGTTAATCAAGAAGTCACAAATGATGGACAGTCTCTTTCAGTTCAGAGTCTTGTTAAAAATCCCACACTACCATCAAGCATCTCGAATCCTTAGAGGGCATTGTAGTTTACTATCATGGGACACTCCCAAGAATGCTTTAAAAAGGAATAACATTAAAAAATATTCAGATTGCAAAACAAAATAAAAAACAGAGTCAAACTGAAAAGGTGATTCAAACCAACAATTGTAGAACGACTTCTTAGTTTCTAAGAATATTAGACTGGGTTAGAGTGCTAAGGCATTGAGCTCATTTTTTTGACATTATTTCTTCTAGTTCCCCCCCCCACCCACCTCATATTTCATGGTTTCTAGCATTTTTTGTGGTGGAGGAAAACTCCCAAATCAGTACATTTTATAAACTTAGAGAGCTCTGGCCCTCTGATCAAATAGAGATGTATCTGTCACACACACTTTCATTTTGCTTATTCTCAGTTAACCGTGGGTTAATTTTTGACATGAGGAAAAGCAGTGAATGAATGAAATGTCATGCCAACACACCTCCGTACTCTGTGGCTGGCTCACCGGCACAGCTGAGGCGGGCTCAGTGACAACAGCATCAGCATCAGCAGGGAACTGAGTGGAAGGGGACAGATTCGTGGAATTGCCACATGGCTCATTAATTTCACTTACACTGAGATAGCCCTAAAAGGAGGAATTCAGAAGTTAGACACACAGAAAGCAAAAGCTGAGGCATGCAAGAGAGTATTAATGTTCCCAGTACAATGGAGTTAGCTGAGAGCGGCACAGCCAGCTATCTGGGTACGATCAAATGTTTCATCAAGGAAAAAATCAGCAATTAAAATGGATTTATGGTGTTTTAATCTTGACAAATGGCATTGCAAACATTAAACAGAAATTTTCTGGTGAAATCAGAATGACTATATTATCAATAACCCAACACCTTCGAATTCAAACTATCCGGAGGCATCAGGATTCGTTCTGTGGATGGAATGAGGTTGTCACTACACATACGTTGAAAGAATCACACATCAAAAAAATCTGAGGTACAAAATTGACAATGCAATCACTCACTGCCTGATTCAAGAGCCTTTTCCACAAATCTTCACTTTTAGTACTGAACCTTCTTAGTTCCTGATGAGCCTGCTGTTTCCTGATGAGTTAGAAGGTCAATACAAGTGGGCTGAGGGATACTGGGTTTACACTAAGAAAAGACTTATAAAACAGTAATTCATTTGAAATGGAATTTAACTTTAGAGCATCTCAATCATATGAGAATAAAAAGGACACTATCTTCTCATTCAAGTGAAT